AAGAAGTTAGGTACGACTGATTTCGTGACGCAAATGGCGGCGGTTCGTGAGAGTGTCAAGTCAAGACGGGAGGGTAGAAGAGTTAAGAGGCGCATCGAAGCTGTTGCTGATCCTGAGAAGTTTGGCAGAGAAAAGAAGCGGAAGAATGACCGGAAGCGAGAGAAGAGGAAGGAAAAGGGCGCAGAATATCAAGATCGGAGACGTGGCTGGTGAATTATTTTCTTCGTGTTTACGATAACTTTAGTATATTGCATTTTTATCCGTTTTCTTTTTTGTGGCACTTGGGAAGTTTGTGTGATGTTTGGGATAATATAGGCTAAAAAACTGGTCTGAAATTTTATCAGGTGACAAGACGAAGCGGCGTTTTATATCCCAATTATTCGTGTGCAATGTATTGTTATATAGTACATACATAGTCGAACGTGTCTAGAGAAGTCGTCAGCAGGAAATTCTAGCCCTGGTATCATATGTCAAAACATCCAACCAACGCCATAGTATGAAAAGAACCCGCACCCTCTGTAAATATAAATATTCATAGCCTATATAATGACACCCTAAAGGGGAAGTCAAGATTGGTGCTATCTATGTCCCGGTTGCTTGATTTCATCCGGCTCTTGCTTCTGCTCCTGAGTCCGTTCCTGCCCCTGTGCAACACCGGCATTGTCTTGTTGCTGAGCCGTCTGGCCGGTCTGCCCCTGTACGTCACTCGCAGGGCCGCTTGCAACAGCCCTTACGGTGCCGTCTTCCCACCACTCCATATCACCGTCCAGCTTCCCCTTCAAAAGCGTCTGTCCGTGCTCCGACAAGATATCCTCTAGCGTAGACTTTTTATCCATGAAGATGTTCAGATGGTCGCTGATGACATGTCGATTCTTGCAACCTGGGCAAGAAATAAGCACTGTGCCTTTATAGTAGCCGTGTTGCGAGATACGATGTGATGAGCGGTGGCCGCATGGCTTGCAAGTGAATGTAATTTGAAACGCGCGCTCTTCTGCGCGGCGTCGGGCATTCTGCGCGGCATCTTCGGGGGTCGCAGGTTTGCTATCTGTGAGAGGCTTTGGAGGTCTAGTGGATGTTGTGTTGTATCTGCAAAATTGTGAGGAGAGGAGCGGCGGAGGATTTGGGCGGCATGCAGGAAGTCGGGATGCAGTGAATGGACGTATCCGGGATGATATGAAAGATTGAGTTCTAGATGACTGTGAAGTGAGAGAACTATGATTTGCGCGAGTTGCCAAGCTTTGAACCAGTCGTCGAGAGGAAGCCATGATTTGTGACAAGGGATAGACCGAACGAATTATTATATTGCGTCGTCTTCGTATGCTGAAGGGGGTTTGGTTATACAACTTTCGTTCCGCAGTCCGAAGTACTTTTTTTTTTTCTCTCTTTGGAATGACATAATTGGATTCACGTGGTTCTCGGATAAATAATATTCCTGTCATCTGGACCGGAAATATATTGTTCCGGCGCGCCAGTGATATAGTTCGAGGCAGCATCAAATGTGTTACGCCCAAGCAACAATTCCACCAGCTCCCCGTTGCCGCTATAGAGGGAAGAGGGTGAATTCTATATGTTTTTCAATGCTATTGGGCTATGGAGAACCGATATTCAACTTGTTTTCAAATTAATTGTTGTAGTTGGAGCTGGCTACATACCCTCCTTTCTGGCGTCTTCCGCTCTCCCCCGCCAAGTTCACAGTTGTCTTCATCCCAGCGGCTCACTCTGTTTCTTCAGCTTCAAGGGTGATTTTGTTTCTCACTAGGAATGATACTTTGCCATTTTAAGTGAACAATGGCGATGAAACCGAAAAATAAGATTCGCGTTCCGCGACGGGTATGTTTTCTCATCCGACCCCCGCACGACCTCCGTTCCCTCCCCGCTTTTCACCAGCCCAAGCGCAATATTTTCTCCATGGAATCAAACACGCTATCGGGGCATTTGAGTTGACTTTTATTATTTAAATTAGAGCATGGCCGCGCGAGACGGCTCCGCTGATTTCGATACCTCGTGGGCTTTACTGGCTGCCTCGCTTCAAGAAATCCATACAAAAAACGCCTCGAACCTATCATTCGAAGAATTGTACCGGAACGCATACAAACTCGTTCTTATTAAAAAAGGTCCAGACCTTTACGATCGCGTAGTTGAACTAGAAAGGAACTGGCTTCAAAATGAGATGCTAAGAAAAGTCACCGCAATTATTTCCCCATCACTTGCACTGGAGGGAGACGCGGTGGACACCCTGGATCAAGCCAACGAGAGAAGGGTAGCTGGTGAACGTTTTTTGTTGAAACTGAAAGAAGTATGGGAACATCACCAGCTTTGCATGGGCATGATCACAGATGTACTTATGTACATGGTAAGACTCTCACTTTGTTCTCTAGTTCCGAGGCTGCTACTTGTATGTACTAACACATCTCCAAAAAGGACAAAATAATCCTCCAGGATAAACTCCGACCATCGATTTATACCACTGCGATGTGCTTATTCCGCGATTACGTCTTGAGATCAGACATTGGAGAGGATAGACCAATAACAGTTGCTGATGTATTCGAAGCAACGGTACTATTCATGATCCGGCTAGAACGAGAAGGCAACATTATTGATCAAGCTTTAATACGGCATTGCATATACATGCTTGAAGGCCTCTATGAAACAGAAAAGGAAGAGGAATCTGGGAAGCTTTATTTTACCTCTTTTGAGCCCGCTTTTTTGGAATCGAGCCGGATTTTCTACCTCGGAGAAGGCCAGCGTCTCCTTGCTACAGCTGACGCCTCCACTTTCTGTAAGCGGGTAGCTGAAAGGCTACAAGAGGAGGAAGACCGCTGTCGATATACATTATCTCCTGCGACAGAGGACAAAATCAAACAGGTTATCGATGAAAATCTGATTGAAAAACACATCGGAGATGTTATATCTCTGCCAGATAGCGGTGTCAAATACATGCTAGACAATGATCGATTAGACGATTTGAAAAACGTCTACGAGTTAAACTCGAGGATTGACGGGAAAAAGAGGGCCCTAACATCCGCTGTACAGGCGCGGATCATCGAACTAGGGTCGGAGATCAATAATGCAGCCATTGAACTTCCTCAAGGCCCTCCACAAAGTCAAAACCCGCCAGACCAGGCCCAAAATGGAGCGAAAGGCAAGGGAACTGATGACAAGGGCCCAGTCAATCTGCAGACTGCAGCTGCAATAAAATGGGTGAACGATGTTCTGCGGTTGAAGAACGTGTTTGATAAAGTTTTGGAGCAGGCTTTCAAGCAGGATCAAGCAATGCAGTCCTCCATAACAACAAGCTTTGCAGATTTCATCAATATAAACTCTCGAAATTCGGAGTACCTGTCACTTTTCTTCGATGAAAATTTGAAAAAGGGAATCCGAGGTAAAACAGAGGAGGAAATAGATGCACTGCTGGATAATGGAATCACTCTACTGAGGTATATCCGCGACAAAGATTGCTTCGAGAGCTACTATAAGAAACACCTTTCCCGACGGCTCCTCATGAAGCGGTCCGCAAGCACAGAAGCAGAACGACAGATGATTGAAAAAATGAAGATGGAAGTCGGCAATACCTTTACGCAAAAATTAGAAGCCATGTTCAAGGATATGGAACTATCCAGCGGTCTCACGTCCAACTATGCGAACTACCTGTCACAGCAAGAAGACCAGAATACAAAACGGATTGACCTCGAAATTAGTGTGCTTACAAGCACAATGTGGCCGATGGAAATGGTAACCAGCTCCAATAAAGACGGCACGCCTTCGATGCAATGCAATTACCCAAAGCACATCGAACAGCTCAAACAAAGCTTCGAGCACTTTTACTTAGGACAACACAATGGGCGCAAACTTTCATGGCAGTCTGGCATGGGTACTGCCGATATTCGGGCTACTTTTTCGAGACCCAATGGAAAGGTTGTTCGCCACGACTTGAACGTTTCCACATACGCAATGGTTATTCTACTCCTATTCAATGATTTACCTGCGGACGAATCTCTCACATTCGAAGAAATCCAAGCCCGAACGAATATCCCAACCAACGAACTCTCGAGAAACCTGCAATCTCTTGCTGTGGCGCGGAAAACTCAAGTTTTAATGAAGGAACCTATGAGTAAAGACGTGAAGCCGACGGATCGATTCTCCTTCAATGAAAAATTCCATAGTCCGTATACCAAAATTAAAATAGGTGTCGTCAGCAGTGCAGGCAACAAGGTCGAAAACAAGGACGAGCGGCAAGAAACCGAAAAGAAAATGAACGAGGAGCGCGGTGGTAGCATCGAAGCTGCCATTGTACGGATTATGAAGTAAGTTTTTCTGCTCCCCCTCTGAATCCACGAGGTTGATTTGCTAGAGACCCTATCCACAATATCTACCCCAACAATCTACTCCCAAAACCTCCAAAGTGTAAATAGAGAAACAACGCTAACTATAGATCTCCGAACCTATCAACAGACAAAGAAAAACGCTTTCTCACTCCCAATTGATTGCGGAAGTAATCTCGCAACTCGTCTCCCGGTTCACCCCCGAAGTGAACATGGTCAAGAAGAGAATTGAGAGTCTAATAGACCGCGAATACATCGATCGGATTCCAGATTCCGAGCCCCCAGCTTATGTATATCACGCGTAGACAATACACTCACACGCACGCTCCCAGCGAAAGATGAGGACTACAACCTTTTCACGTAGTTTGATGATGACACTAGATGACCCCCTCTGCATTCCCCTCTTTTTCTGATTTCTGGGATCCTGAGAATCTTTTGCCATAGCCTACCCTACCTACCAAGGACTAGGTAACCAGTTAGTGCTTCAAGCGGGTTTGTCTTCTTCCATAGGTTCACGACTTTCCCTTCCAGGCTCATGTTCTCAGCGACATATGCTCATTTCCATTTCTTTTCTTCTCCGCCAAACTTTTGGGTTACATGGGGCTGGTATCATATGGGAAATTGGATGGTGCGAGCAATATTGATTTTTGTCTTTTATATTTCTTCATATTTGTTCCTGAACGTGGTAATGAACTTACGGCATGCATGAGAAAGAATATTGAATAACCTCAGCCTGGACTTTATATTCAATGGATATGTGCACTTTCCCTCCGCTTTAACGATCTCTAGTTTTACTGCTACCAACCCTCTGCACGCGCTCCTCCCATCTTCGGTTTTTTATTTATTTTATTTTTTTAATACCTTTTCCGAATCGGAGTAAGTCCTCTCACTTTTTATTTCGACGTAAAATGTTAATCGCCATGCCCACATTTCCCAATCATTCCACATACAATTAATTCTCCTTCCTTGTCTATTCGGTTTTACTTTGCGAGCTGTAGACTAGAAATGTCCTCTTCAACACGATGGTAATGAATTTTTGTGAACGTGTCCATTAATCCCCTCATCTTCTTCCTATTTCCCATTCATAAAATCAACACCATCGCCAGGCAATGCAAATGAGAAACAATGGGACAAGTGAGGGCTGTAAGCCGAGTATAGAAGGTCAACAAAAATGGGAACCCATCCATCCAAGACCATAAAACGCCCTGTAAACGCCGTCCATATCTATATTTCACATCTAGTATTCTCTTTCTCTATATATATATAAAGACCCAAACCAGCTTGACAATACGCCTCACCATCCCAAAGAAAAAAAAAAAAAAAAAAAAAAAAAAGAAGAAGCCAATATCATAAAACCTCCACCTCTCCCCTGGCCCACGCCTCTTTAACCCCTTCCCACCGCGCAATCCAAACCTCCCCCCACCTCATTCTCCTACCATAAACATCCCCATCGCCTCCCATCCCATCACCCTCACCAGAGGGGATGACAATCCTGACCTCATCCACCAAACAGCGCACGAACACCACCTCCTTCGTCTCGGGGCCTTGGATCATAGTTGTCCCACCAGCATTGTCATCCAATCGCCGCAGCTGTGCGGGGAAAGTTGAGAGGAAAGAGTTGTTGTAGTGTGCCGTTAGGAGGGATTGGTGGGTTTGGAGGAAGGCGGATTCTTGCGGGGAGAGGAGGGGTTGTTGGTGTTGGTCTGTGGTTGATGATTTATAGGCGTTTGTGGCTGTGCGGTGGGGATGGGTGGGTGTGGGTGTGTTGAAGGTTGCTTGGGAGGATTGTTCGTGGGATTGTGAGGAGGCGACGGATGACGAGGGGAGGGGGGTGGAGAGGAGGAGATAGTGTAGGCTGTGCTTTGTGAGTTTTGAGAGGCGCTGGCGTAGTAAGGAGCGGATTATATATTGGGTGCGTGAGAGGTCTGTTTGCAGGATGGAGAGTTTGAGGTTTGTGGTTGGGTTTGTTGATGGGTTTGTCGCGGAGGGATCGGAGGCGGCGGCGGTGAGGTCTTCGATTTTTTCAATCTGGAGAAATTTATAATATGTTTTCTTTAGTTATCATTTTCCGCCGACAGTATTTACAATATATATATACATATATATATAGTATGTAATTCTCAGCCGATAAATATTCCGGGGCTCTTCTCCCCGCACCACCCCACGCGGAAGCAAACCCCACCACCACTGTTTCTCACAGAACATATTCAAACCAAATACTCCGGAAATCTCAAAAGCCTCAATTCAATATAAATCTCACTCACCTGTCTTCGAACCCTCTCCATAACTCTCTCCATCAGCGGGCCCGGCCATGGCAACAGCTCCGGCACGCCCCTCTCCGTCACCCAGAATCGCGTCAGTTGCTGAGCATCGAGCGCGGCGGCCTCTGGCGACGTGAAGTCAGGTCGATCGACGGAAGCGAGAATATCATCAATGTCCATTTTCTTGTTTTTAATATCTGCAAATTGGGGTTGTGGTTATAATTGAGGGTAGAAGGTCTTGTCCTTGGCTGTTCTGGAGCGATTGAGCGCGCGGTGAGCTTGTGTGTTTTTGTGGTTGTTTATTGGGTGAATTTCCCAAAACGGTTAAATTGAATCGCGTGTTTGGTTGCACCAAAAATGCGTTTCGCGATGCGATGGACAAGCTCATGAGAGCCAGTACGGAGTACAGAGCATACAGCCAACAGTATGTACTACAAAGAAGGACTGTTAATAATTTATAAATCTTTTTTTTTTTTTCATTTTCATTTGATTCTCTAAAGGTATTGTAATATTTTTTTAAGAGATGGAAAAGGAAAAGGAGGAAAAGGAAAAGGAAGAAAAGGAAAAAGGCAAGGGACATCCCCGGAACGCTCCAACCCGCCAGTGGTAGTCCATAGTCTGTCAGAACACCATTCTTCCACCTCGCACATTCTTCAATAATTCAGTCACTGTTTTCTAATATCCCCTCCACACATCCTGATGATTGAGGGCGCGGGCAAGTGCGCAGCCATAAAATCAAACGAATGGAAACCTCTCCATCTTCCATTTCAGGCAAAAACAACATGATGGAGCCCAGCCAATCATAATCAGGTTCCTCAGTACCGCCCCGGTTTGATTCAAAAATGTCTGATCTTTTCGCTTTTCACCGGATTATACGCATCATCGGTGAGAAAAAATGGTCGCAAAGAACAGTAGGCAACACGCGATAGTTAAAGGCCGGTAGAGTTAAGAACCATTTCGAAGAAGGTAATGGTTAGAATAAGGGCCTTGGTCAAACAGGAAAATTGAGGTAGGTATTATGGTCGAGAAATATAACGTAATTGAGGAGTGTTGAAGTCAAGCAAGCAATTTCGGAGAAGCAAACCCAGGACAGAACAAAACATAGGAAAAGTTTTTTTTCAGCAAGTCGAAGAAATCGGATATGCTTCTGTAGCAGAGAAGATTCCGGGATCGGTGGAGGATGGATGGATAGGCAAGTGTCTCAATTTGTTCCTCGCGCGTGTGGGTCGCGCTTAGATATGCAGATGCAAACATAAGAAATAAAGTTCGATGCGGATGAAAGTGGTTAAAGTATGTCATATCGTAAAAGCTGTTTTTGTCGAAACTTGAAAGGAAATGTATAGGCCGATGGCGGCGAGGTAATAACTAAACCACTCATTATGAGTGAGATATCGCACAATGTGGATGGATAAGGTATCGAATAATTAGTAGTGGAGGCTCAAGGCTGGCTAAGCCAATAACTGTAATTCTCCCAAGTATCCTATAAGGGGGTAAATGTTTTCGTTGTCCACCGCAAATTATTCTATTAGAATAAAAGAGTTTGCTTGGTCGACCTCGACGGTGGCGGCATGGTCAAAAGAATGATAAGGTAGGTCTCACAAGTATATTAGCCATTTCGTCTTGTTCGAAAGCTGTTGAGATGTCAAAAAACGTCGGCGCGGGGGGGTGAGATTGAAAGGATAAATTGAAGTGGTCCAAGATTCAAAACGCGGGTGTTGGCAGTGAAACACCATTGAAACAGGAGAGGAAAAAAGGTAGCAGGCAAACGTAACTCCATCAAGCGTTTAGCGCCATAATTCAGGGATCATTAAGAGAAAGATGTCAGTAACTGAACATGCGCCGTCCAGGCAAACGTCCAGGTTCCGGGATTTCCAGGGACAGGTTGCGGTCACCACCAGTATTCCGGCAGCGCCCAGTAGGGCTGTCCTCCATTTGGGCGGAATGCTGCCCGAAGGCAAATGTCTGGGCTCTGGCAAGCTTCGACCGTTGTTTTACTTTTCCGAGACCCCGTTCGCAGGCAAAAGCGTGCTCCTTTGCGGCCATCTCGACATAGTTTTGTGGAATGCAGAGAGTGCGGTGCACGGAAAAGAAAGCACTGTAACCACCATCCAGGATGTACATTTCGGGGTATGTGAGTTTGGGGTATTCGTCGATATTGACCGCACGATCTTTGTGCCGAATATACTTGGCCCTAAATCGATAATGTGTAAGAATGAGACGACGTAAAAGGATGTTAAAACGTGGAGCAAGGGAGTTCCAGACTCACATAATAGGGGCACGGTGGGCAGAATACTCGCAATGAAACACCAGCATGGTGTTTGGCTTCATGCCCTCGGAGAACAACTTTGAGGCGAGATGGTCCTTGTCATTGTAATTGACAGCACCATTGATATGGCCACCTTCATATTCGTACTCAAATCTGCAGTCAATAATGATTATGTCATTATATTTATCGTTATACTTCCCATCAAGAATATCAACTAGAACAGCACTCTCAATTCGGGGGAGACTGTCAGGTTGATCTTCGGGGATAAAGTGAGGTAAATGTAGGGTAGGTGTCTCTTCCATGTCGCTTAAAGATTGGATATTCACACTGGAGTCGTCGTCTTGATTCATTACATCGTCAGGATGTTCAAACATGCTGAGCGATCTTCTACACTGTTTCCTAGGTCGAGCAAAAGGATTAGAACCCTTACGCACGGCACCATGCCCTGGAGAACCGTTTCCACGAGATTGTCCGAGAGAACCTGAAAAGGGAGCTCGTGGGCGAGGCGGTCCCATGTGTTCATTTGCAACGTTGGCCCGCGAGGCCGGCCTTTCCGGTGACCCCTCAAATATCTCAGACAATGAAAGCGATGTTGACGTAGAGAGCTTACTGCTTCCATTTCCGAATTTCACCAACGGTTGAGAATGGCCCCCTGCTGGACTTTTAGAGATACCACCATGAGTTTTGGTCCGCATTAATGAAGGGCGAAGGAAAGCAGAACGTTTACGTCTAGAAGGATATGAGTATACGGAAGTAGAAAGAATTGCTCTCCGTATAACACGGCGGGGGAATACGGCACTTACTCTGGTGGAACATTGTGATGAAAAGGCTCTATTGGTGAATCTTGCAGGGGACTAGGCATGTAGATATTTGGCTTCAGGTTGGAGAGATCAGTCGTGGGAGACTCCAAGTCACTGTCCGATTGGTGAGAGTATGGCAATTTGTGCGGCAGGGGGGACATGTCCATCATATCAACAGATATTGCTGGTGAAGATGATGGTAGAGGGGGCGTTGTCATAGTATCTAGTTGCTGTTAGCTTCACTGGTGTGTTCTTCGGCTGGGTGACAAAGATGGCGTATATACCTCGACCATTTTCCGGACCAAATAAATTCGCTGAAAACAGCGATCTCCGGGGCGTTACTAGTTGAGGACTGCAGCCCAAGTTAGCAACAAACCTAGGAAAGAAAATGGCGAGAAGGAAAAGAAGGGATTAACTGGTAATATTCCGCTCGCGATGTACGTACCTCTGGTCAATGTGGAAGTTCTGCGAAAGATCAGCAGCTAGACTGGCCGTAGGAGAAGATCCTCCAACGGGCTTCACACTGAAGTAGTCTGGATTCCCTTTCTTCTTGGAGAGTTCCTTAAAATTGAAGCTGTTCGGGCCAAAATTCCGCACCGCAGGGAACGATGTGAATGAAGTAGCTGCTTCTGCTCGAAAACAATGTCCGAAAAGCATAGAGGGTGGCTGCATAGCAGCAAGAGGAGACGAATGTTCCATAGCCAGCTCTTTAGCTCCGCAAAACGAGTATTATTCTATCACCTTATATTTTTTCCTCCGCTCAATAAACCAGTACACACAACCCTAGCCAGTTCCAGCTCGAGCGTAGGATTGTCCACGAGGGGAGGTAGGGAGGACGGAGGGAGGAATGGAGAAATGGTAGCAGTCAAGCAAAAAGTCAATTGGCCTTGAAATGCAGATCTGCAGGCACATCCAATGCACTCGGCAAGACGTAGACCCCTCCTCAAGCTGGTTTTTCAGCTGTCTCAACTTTTCGTCCGAAAAAAACGAGCTATGCCCACCGCAATGACTTCGAGATCCGAGCCACCTAGGAAGACAGGCGTTAGATGCCGAATTCCAGATTAAAATGACATCGTTCAAAGTCAAGAGTGAGCAAGGTAAATTGGTTGTAAGGCGTTGTGAGGAGGGAGATCGAAAGCAGGAGCAGAACCGTGCAGCTGCAGCAGAGAGCAGAGGGACGACGGGGGGGAAGACCGTCGACAAGGTTGTAACGGGGGGCGGGGAAACGAGAAGAGGACTCCTGGACTGGGGAGAAGAAGAGTGAGCACAGAAGAGGAGGAGGAGGAGAAGGAAGAAGGAAGAGGAAGAGGAAGAGGAAAAGAAGAAGAGGAAGAAGAGAGGAAGAAAGCGGAATCGTGGGTTGGGTTGGGGATAGTTTGAAGCTGGCGGCTGAACGTGTTGCAATGGGCAACGGTACGCCGGAGTGGGGAGGGGGAAGTCTTTGCAGGTCCCGCGCCCGCCAACAATGCGTGGCGTGGTACTTCTAGGTACATGGCCAGCCTTAACCAGCGTTGCCTCAAACCTCCTTCCCTTTTGACCTCGCAGCAAGGCCTAACAAAGCGAGGCGGATCCAGGTACTGGAACCTAGGATGCAGGCTTCAAGCTGGACTGGGAAAGGTACCGGTACATCGGACACCTTCAGCTTCCCTGATCCCAGCAGTCTCTCCGCTGTTGCTGGCTTGGTCTGCTCCGTATCTCTTCGTTCTACGCTGCGACTGGCCCGCCTGGCTGTTCTCCTTACCGCCCAGTCCAATAAACTACTGCATAGTCTTTACCGGAACCTTGCTAGTAGCTTCTTCCTACTATCGTCCTCACTGGAAGAGCCGCGATCTGGTTGCTGAAGCGATGGCATGACGTGCAGCCCCAGGAGGAATTTCTTGCCAAAACGACAACGCATTCATGCACGGGAAAATTTTGAAAAACTCACACAAAGCAAAGCTGGATGGAGGTAAACAAACCCCGTTTCCTCCTTTAGAGAGGCGTTATTAACAAGGAAATAATCTACTTTGGCATTCCTATGATTAAAAATTACACGCTGGAGAAGAGCGGGAGAAGAAAAATAAGCGCAGAGATGATTCAGAAACTGAGGGTTCCGGAAGCACTTCCTGGTTCGTGTCGATGTAGAAGAGAGCATTCCAGGCTTACGATGAATAACTACGCAGTATATCATGAAACAATAAAACAAGGATATCATTCTACATCAAGCTTGGTTTTACATCACCACCTCCACCTACCCTGGCTAACTATACTTAGCACATCACTCCGCTAGAAAGCGAGTTGGTTATTCCAATTGCGCCAATATGCCAACATTGCTGTGGAGAGCATTGACTGTGTGTCTGTCTACCCGCGGATCGTCAACCATGTCTCTTTGCTCAAGGTTAGAAGCAAACAATATCTGCGTTCATCTCCAAATCTTATTTTTGCAATCAAATGGATGGAGATCTACAGTTGCCCTTTCATCGGAATAGCCCCCATGGTAAAAGAGAGGAAACCTGAGATTCTTCCCATCATCTGCCTTGCTTCAAGTTGCTTGACGATCCCATGCCGTGCGCCTCTTCCCTGGTCACTAAAAAACGCTTCAGCTCTTCATGGCGCAAGCGTCGGCCGTGGGTATTTATCCGAAAACAGGGAGACAGGGAGACACGGAGACAAAGACAAGGATGTTGCTATGGAAAATAGCTCTCTTTAACCAGATATTTAGCGTATCAACAGCCACGATACTTCGGAGAGAGACTCCAATTCAGCCAGCCTGCACTGATGGATCCTGGTCTCACGATCCACTTACGTGTACCAATCCTCCTGTCTCGACTCTCAAGCAGGAGCTTTGGCTTCAGCGTTAGCCAAAAATGATCCTGTTAGTTCTTTTTCGTAACAAGGCCTGCAACAAGAAGGCAAATAACACCGCACGCAACCACAAACTGGGGTTCTACTCTGTATTCTATTGTGCCATGGCCCTCGGTGCCACCCCTTACTGACACCACCGGAAGCACCCGCCATTGAGACCGAATCCGCAAGGCTCTGAATGAGATTAAATATTAACCGAGAGAGGAAATGCGAGCATCCAATCAGCGGTAGCTAGCTAGCCCGCGCAGAATTCTTCCTTCGGTCACCACGACACAGCAAGAATGATCATTGACTGTATTCGCTCTAGCTAGCCCTTTAATAGTATCGTATACAGTCTTTGTCGCTGAACTTGATTCTCTGTTCAGGCTTGGAATCATTAAATGCAGCAGTGGGGTCACACTGTTTATTTCTCTAGCCCATGTTGATGTCATGAGATTCGCGGGTCAGCCCTTCTCGTCCCTTCCCCTCCTTTCTCCTTGGGCTTCTGCTCTGGGTGTCAATGGGCACAGCAGATGCGGGCATTTGCTCCTCATCTCCCTCTTCTAAACCAACCATGTCGTACCAACGCAACGCCAACAAGCAAATCACATTCCCTAAAATAGCAAAAGAAAAGAAAAGAAAAAGGGACGAAAAGGATTCGCGATGTTACTCTCCCGTCGGCGTTTCCGTCCCAGCTGACTCGCATGTTCATCAATCACATCAATCAACCCCATCTCCAACCGCCCATCCATCACTTCCAGCCTGATGGCGTGCGGCGGCACTTATTAGTTTACTTTCGCGATATTCTGGCGCCAGGTTAACCAACCCCGCACCGTTGCTTCCTTCGGCCTTGTTTCAGTTTCTCGTGTCCGTGGGGCATGAACTATTATTATTATTATTTAATATTTCTTCCTTCTCGTCACTGTTGTCAGCCATGCCCACGGTTCCACGCAGCGCCGCGGCCCGCGTCTTGCCAAGAGGTAAACAATGCGGGTGAGCCACGAAATCCCGTGACACACCAGAAGATTTAGCCCTAGTCCTAAAATGGGAACTGGGAACGGCAAACTCAGCGCTAGCTCATGAATTCAATCAAAAGGAAATTGTTTGCCAGTATCAGGAATGGACCGAAAGAGATTGAGAAAACATATCCCAGGCAGAAGAAAAGGTTGGGACGCAAAGAGAACGACAGAGTTGAAATTCTTAGCATATTTTTTGCTTGCTGTCGTTCTCCGATCAGATATCGCTGACCGGGCGACTATTTCGATAGTCCATCGACTAGCGAAACGAACTCAATTTACAGCGTGTACAGCGAGTATCTTTTTCTCCGGACCGGATCTACCCTTGGGTGGATTCTTTTTTTTTTTTTTTTTCTCCTTCATTCGCCTCTCCTGAGGACCTGTATTCATGCGCATGCACTCTGGGGCGCCTATCTTCTAGAAGCCAATAGTTTGTGTTCGCCGGGAAATTGAGAGCTTTACTCATTGAAGCAAGGCGTGGGTGGCACGTCGTTGTCATGGTGAACGGGAAAAATTTTTCCTCAGCAAAGATGCTAATTGAACAACCCAAAATCCTTCCGTGGTTACACGTTCGTGGTTACATGTTCCCTGACATTCACCTCAACAATTTCGGCGATGATTAAAGGCCGGAGAAAGCCTCGGAGTGGCTCCACTTCTTTGCTATGCTGACTCTTGTCTTCAGACGACTGAGACGAGACGTCTGGGTATCGTGAAGATAAAATGCTCTGGGATTGGCGCACATGTTGCTTGGCCCGACATGCAGCTGCATATTGTACTCCGCTTATTGTGTGCCATGTTACCCTGATATGAATACTTACTTATTCCGGTATCTGACCAAGAGCTTTGCTCGTTCATTCTTGAAACGGTGTTTTTATTCCATCACTTCTCTTCGTTGTTTTCCAAGCATAGCTGCTCGTTCTTTCATAGTGTCCTCCCTTGAGGACATAAGAATACTCTCACGTTTTCCCGTCTCCAGCTTCAACAAACATAGATGAGCTTTTCATCAGCTGGCTTGGAACAAATAACTCGATTTGGAAGTCTAAAAATAAGGATATATCTATCGCATATTATTGACAATTATTTTCTACGAAAACCCAATATTTAGGTCCCCACGCTGACTTTTTGGAGTGGTGTTGAATAACATCATTTAGTTGCTTGTATGCGAATGGGGCAAGCTACAATTCTATTGACAATATATATTACTATATAAGGGTTTATGAACGCTACTAATTAAATATAACTATTCAAGCACGTGAGCGCGCCTCTCCAGAAATTTTCTTGCGGTGTACTTCGACAAATCGGGGGTCGGACAACCCAGCATACAGCAAACCTATCACCGTCACGGTCGTTTAGGACTCTCGTCTGAGATGAAAAATAGTTTCGAGAGTCCCCTCCCTCTCTTCTCTCTGGCTACGGATAGCTGCCACATGTGCGTTGCATCTCGTCATCATGGGCCATGTCGATAAGGGAAATTCCCAGGGATGAGTGATCAAGAAACGCTTGGAGACTGCCTTAAATGTTCAGACCTCATCCAGTAGCCATTCATTCAACTTCATCCCAAGTTGTCTAGCATTGTTTGCCGGTTGCTTTCCTTCGTTGGGATCAGGAAATGATACTTACAACGGCAGATGCGGGACGATTTGACAAGCCACCCGGAGTTATCATTGCCCCATTTTTATTAGAACCGTCTCAATTCGGATTTTTCAGATTTTAATCTAAGGTTTAGGCATTGGTCTCTGTTTTTTATAACAGGTCAAAACGCGCAGACTGTCACGAACGTGCCAGCGGTTGTTGAAGGATACCTCCCATCCCTAAAAACCAAATCCTCATTATCCAACCAGTCAACCTGGCCATCGACCGTCTCCGTATCGCCCGTCCGACAATCCATCGCCACAAGATCAAACGGGTAAACATGATACAAAACCGTGGCCTTAAGATTAGGCATCTGCCTCGCCGCCATATTCGCCCCTCCAATCATCTGGTTTATCAACACATCCCTCCTGCAATGTGTACCAGCTGAACACAGCTTCGCAGACTTTGCGCTCATCACCCTCTTCAATGGGTCATACAGGCTCAGATGGAACACAAAATCCTTCCGAGCCGTCGTATACTGATTATCATTCTTACTACCAACGCCAAAAACCTCTGGGCAGATCTTATGCATCCTCACTCTCAACCGCTGCAGGTACGGCACATACCTCCCTATAAGCGGGCAGATATGCTCATTTTCCGAAGGATGTCTTCCCTCAGCACAATCCGCACCCGCCTCCATAAACGCCGATCCGCATGTATCCAACTCCAGAACCCTCAATCGATCCGCCGGGATACTCCTGCACATAAGCGCAACCGCATCCGCGTGTAGATAACTCTTCATGTGCTCGAACAGATGCGCCTGCGCGATGCCGTGCGAGTTTGATTCTCCTTCGGCCTGGAATCGGAATCGGGTCAACGTCTTCAGTGTGCCCAGCCAACTGGAAAGACGGGTCATATCCGCCCTTGTCCTTTCGACCCAGTCAGCGAGGATCTTGAATCGTTCCGGGATGGCCTGCTGCGTCTCAGGGTCGATCAGAGTAGACCATCCTGAGTAACCGGTCAGGCGGATGGAGAGGCTTGTTGTCTGCGTTGGCGTGGGCGTAGTGCACTCATTCACGGGAGATAATTCCGAATCTGATTTCGTTTCTGCTCGTGTACTTGTAACTCCCAGGTGTTGATGTTGATATTGAGATTCATGGTCCGGTATATCATTCCCAGGTGCAGTCATTTCTAGCTGCTGCAGCGCGAGGAATTTCTTCAAGCCGGTCGCTGAGAGTTTCACATCTTCCATCAGGACTGTTGATGCAATGCTGTGCCAGTATTTGCATATGAGTAACATGTCTAGGTTGTTGGCCCTGAGCTCGTCGGCGCCAACATATTGGAGAATTTCGAGGAGGATCTCCGGGGGGAGAGTCGTTAGATAGCCCCTATCTTTCCCAACGCCGCTGCTCGAGTTGAGGGTGAGGCGAGTGTAGTCATGGTAGTCGTCATCGTTGACGCTGACCTCGTCTCTCGCTAGCATGGTTCGGCGGATAATGATGTTTCCTATCTCGGCCCAATATATTTCCTATTTATTCCCTTGCGGAGTTGGCACTTTCGGCCCAAGTTTTGTGCGGGTGGTTTGACGTAGGACTAAGTAATAGCAGTAAGGAGAGGGGAGTGTTGTTTTCTTTCTACCATTCAATGCAAATATATAAATAACTAAAGCGGGAAGTGAAAGTCATACGAATAAGACAAGCACAAAAGAGACGGGAGAGATGCTGAATGATGATATACTGGAAAATGAAACTGACAGAAGAGTATGATTGAAGGGGAGGATTAAATATCAATATAACAACCAAAAAAAAAAAGTTTTTAAGCAACAGCTAACCTCTACCCGCCCTGCAAGACGTAGGATTATTATCCTGGATTTCAGCTCCGGCTCTAGGTACGGATCGAGGCATGTTTAAGGAATTACTCAACACCTCAGCCATCAATCCCAAGCCAAGCAACAAAAAAGCGTAGACGTCCGAGGAAGGTGTTGGTGGGCCCTTTGTTGCATCCAGCAGACGAAATCACGCCGGCGCTGAAATTCAGTTGCGTTTAAAGATTTTTCTATATATAAAACCCTCCCCCCTCCCCCCTCCCCCCCCCTTGGCAGCCTGTTCGCCGCTGGGTGGAGCGGTTTCAAGATTTTCAGAAACATACCGAGCCGACTGCTGACCTGCAAATCACCCGCTCACGTCATCGGCATCCTGCTCTTTTCTTTGAGGCCCGTGTGAAGGCCCGGATAGCAAACACCATTGCGATCATGTGATGGCTTGAGTGCTGATTTCAACAGTGGATTTTCTGTGTTAAAGAGGGAATATGGGGTAGCACAGGGGGAGGGGGGACTGGAATGATATTTTGATGGGTGGTGGATGGGCCAGGTAAGTTCTCAGCAGGACAGGTTGGTTTAGGTGGATAGTTGTTCAAGCTTTATTATTTAGTGGAAGATGGGGAGAGACAAGGCGCTCTCCTCCTGGTCTCGGCCTTTTTAAATATCTATATAAGATCAGCTGTGAATAGTTAAATGACTAGATGTCTGAGAGTAATGTTCTACTCTTCGTCATAGCCAAAGTCGCTTTTTCACACAATATAGTATAGTGGACCAGATATATATAAAGATGTTTCGTTTCGGTCAGTGGACCGGCAGCTTACAGAGTAACTTTCAGATATGTGAAATCCTGAGAATGATGGATGCGGTTGGCAGCAAATCTCCGCTCTCGGCTATTCAACCGGGGGCTTCCCTGCTTGATACAGCCGGGATCGATCGCTATGAAGATGGAATAGACGCATCCTAAATACACCCGAAGCATTTTTTTCCTTATCCTCCTGGATGTCCGACTGCCGCGTTGTTCTCTGCAGCATTGGTCCCCGGCAAGGTGTACAAGCTGGTGATTATAACCATCTACCTATCACCGAATAAACAGAGGAGAAGAAGAGAGGCAAAAAAATGAGAAACCATGTCTTCCTCAAAACCAGCGAATGATGGCGCCGCGCTCCCGTGTTACAAAATAGCAGCTATACGTGGGGACGGCATTGGGCCTGAGGTGATAGAAGCTGGTAACTATCAAAGTGCTGAAGAAACTAACCGCGTGGCTTGGATACTTTTGAACTGGCCTTCGAGAACTTTGAGTGGAGCAGTGCGTATTACAAGAAACACGGCAGATATCTCTCCCATTTCATCTTCTACCTTCCTCTGGTTCTCGTTTGTGAACACTCCAGACGTACCAGATCATATCTCCCTCTAAGGTCTTCGACTAGCAATATGCCAACCAGGGTCTTTCACGGCATCCAATCGCCGCTCCATCTCGACTGGGTGATCGTCCGTGAGAACTCTGAAGGGGAGTATGCGGGTCACGGTGGGCGCAGCTACGCCGGCAAGCCGTGGGAGGTAGCCACGGATATATCCATCTTTACCCGCCATGGCGTGGAACGGATCATGAAATTTGCATTTGAGGCTGCGCGGAGTCGGGCGAAGAAGCACATCACTGTCGCCACGAAGAGCAACGCGCAGAGAAATGGGTTGGTGGTGTGGGATGAAATTGCGGCGGCGGAGGTCGCAGCGCAATTTCCCGATGTGACGTGTGATAAGATGCTGGTGGACGCCATGACGGCGAGAGTGGTGCTGACTCCTGAGAGTTTGGATACCATTGTTCCGACCAATTTGGTATGTCGGTTTACCTTCCCCTTTCTTTTAAGCGGGAAGAGATGGACTCGTAGGGTCCCGAGCTGGGTGCGTGGTTTTTCATTATTTGATGTGAAGTTTGACATGCCTAATCCTCTACCCCCCACGCCCCCCTAGCACGCCGGTATCCTGTCCGATCTTGCATCAGCTCTTGCAGGATCAATTGGCATCGCTCCCACGAGTAACCTTGATCCCACGCGCGAGAACCCATCCATGTTCGAGCCGGTTCATGGGTCCGCTTTCGATATAGCCGGAAAGGATCTTGGTATGTCCATTTTTGGTTACTTCCCCCAATGTGATGTTATTCTATACCGGCTGACAGGAAGAAATATATTCATTTCACAACATAAATAGCCAATCCCATAGCTACTTTTTGGACAGTAGCTGAAATGCTCTCTTGGCTGGGACAAAAAGGAGCTGCGGCTGAGCTGCTAGAGTGCGTGGAATCCGTCTGCAAGTAGGGGATTGTGGCAGTGGATTTGGGTGGCAACAACAGCACAGCTCGGAGTCAGTACCTAAACTGTCTAAGTGCTTTTTTATTTACTCCGGTTCCTAGAAGGGAGAGGGTTTGATATGAGGATAACAAAGGACGAGGGGTTTGTAGAACAAACAACGTGCGAGTTTTCAAGGGTATTTGACAAAGGAAGTATTCGTTCACGAAACACGAATTTGGTCCCAGCCATTGCCCTGGTCAGAACTGACTACACTGATGTTGATGTATATGGTATATTTCCACAATTGAAGATAGAAAATCCACTCCTGCTCAGCTGAGACCTTGAGCCAGTTCTAGAGAAGAAAAAAATAGAAAGAAACAAAAAAGAAAAAAAAAAAAAAAAAAAACTACAAAAAGACTCGTCCCTGGGAAGGCTCGAACTTCCAACCTCTCGATTAACAGTCGAACGCGCTAACCAATTGCGCCACAGAGACTTGTTGATGTCATCCGGACCCGGCGAAGGCGAATATCCGTCGTATAGTTATTTATCCGAGTATCGAATCGAGATAGATAGTTACTTTTATTAGCCCTAACTCACGAATCCACTTCCGTATAAAAGGAATTAAGGAACGACTACAGCAACCACGCACCGAACAGGTCCCTAATTCTTACGCTCGGAAACATCGCTTTTTGTAGAGAGCAGCCAGGTCTACTCCACTATACGGAGTACAATCTCATATGCCTGATATCTACATGTAACTACGTTTACGGCAAATGAGCCTTTCTACCCTATATTCAATATCGAACCTGAGCAACAAAACATGCTATTTTCCCTCCACCTCCCTTAACACCAGTAAAAAGAAAGACAACTTTCCCTATTCGTGCTCTCCCCCGTCATATCGTGTCATATTTATATATTTGCCCCTTCCATCCCTCGCACCTCTCGGCATCACCATGCCAGCTCCATCCTAGACCCTGTAATCCCCGTAATGAACTTCCCTCCATCGTTCTTCCTCGTCGCCCCATCCACAACTTTTACAAGCCCCTGGATCGACTTGTCCAGATTAACCATAATCCCAGCCTCCACCATCTCCTTATAATTCACCCCCCACTCACCCGCAGCCTCAACTCCCATGTCCGTCGACACCCAGCCCGGATGAACCACAACACTCACTAGCCCCTCACCGTCTCCATCCTTGCCAACAATCTGCTCATGCAAGCTCTTCGTAGCCCAATTCATGGCCACCTTGCTCATAGCATACGCGGAGCCGACGAGCGACTCCATGGTCCCGATCGAAGCTACAGAGGATGAAATCATGATGAACTTTTTCGGGCCCTCTGCCGCCCTTAGAAGCGGCCACAGGGCCTGAAACACCATCAGCGGCGCGATTGTGTTGGTCTGGAAGCACGTGCGCAGATCCGCGGCGGTGATGGAGAGCGTGGGCACCATGGGCGTTTTCATGGCAGCGGCGAGGATGAGGGTGTTGATGTGCGGTACGTTCTCTGTACCGGCAAGAACTAGCTCGCGAATTTTGTCGGGCGAATCCGTGATGGTTGGGTCGGAGAAGTCGAGCTCGACCGTATAGAGGATGCTGTTCGCGCCTCTGGTTTCTGCAGTAGTAGAGGTAGCTTCACGAAGCATGCTGGCGCCAGCGCTGTTGCGTACCATGCCTATGACTGTGGTGTTAGGGCGGGAGAGATAGGTCTTCACAAGCCCCAGGCCGATGCCCCTATTGGCGCCGGTGATGGCATAGACGGTGTTGGTATGGGCGTTTGAGGACATCTTTAATATGGGGATACTCTTTTTTCCTTTCGTTAAGGTAGGGTTTGAAGCGGGATAAGCTGTTAAATGGGCGATGTTGAATGGGGGGCCTGAGGAGAAGAAGAGGGAAAGTTGGGACCTGCACTTCCATTTTTATAATAGTTGGCATAGGCGGACAGATTGCATCCAACTTGGTAGGGGCTGTGTGCCCGCTGCACATCCAATTGTGAGGGGCAAGTCTCCGAGACGTGTTGTCTGCGTCATTTTTGATATGAATGCGTTGTTGGCTTCAACTAAGTGCGGTACCTACTCATAGTAAACTCCCCCGGCCGGATGTACGAGGCGTTGCTCCGTCCGGATATGAAGTCGTCCGAGTTCTACGCCCTACAGTTTTCCCAGAATGCATGATAAAGTTTGCAAAAAGCAAAAAACGAAAAAAAAAAAGGGCTCGACATTCTCCTCTCCTTGGAGAATACTACATGTACTAGATGACATCCCGGCGCTAAAAAGCCCCTAATTTACAATTAAGTTCTAAGCACAAACATAAAATATGCGTAGTTCTAGTTAATTGGCTAATTCATTCTCGACCAGATCATTTCTGAACTCAAGAACGACCTTATCACCCTCTCCATTCCAACAACAACCACTCTGTTCAAGTCTTTCACTATCCAATCCGGCCCTGGTAGTCTGATCTGCTCGGCAGTATGTGCTAGAAACCACGCCCATAACCTTGCAGGCTAGTCTGCCGCCTTCCCAGCTATGATACCAGCAGGGGTATCCTCGAAGACAAAGCACGTCTTTGTGTCTTTTGCTTCAAGTCCCAACGACTGGCGTCCCATAAGGGCATTCTCCGCAAGAACCATGTGCTTCGGTTTGGGGAGACCCAACACTTTGAGCCAGCCAGTTACAAGACCAGTCGTTCCGCTCGTAACGATCGCCCAAGGGACTAACTGGGCCTCAGCTTGGTTCAGGAGGGCTTTTGCGCCGGGCATTTCCTGGGCGTCAGACCCGTACTTCACGGGGAGAGCTGCCTCCAAGGATTTCAAAACACAGGCGCCCTCCTACGAACCTTCAACGGCCACTCTGGTGCAGTGTGGGCGGGCGGTGGGCTTCTCTCCAGACGGAAAAACAGTCATATCTGCTTCTTCTGAGGACAGGCAATTATTCTCTGGGATCGAGAGACAGAAGAGGCCATTTGGACCGAGTTAGAGCCGCCGTCTTCTCTCCAGACGGCAAAATGGCAGTATCTACATCCGAGGATAGGACGGTTAAACTGTGGCGCTCCGCCACGGAAGAGCTATTGCAGACACTAAAGGTGACATCTTGGCCGCGTCAGGGCGGTTACGTCCTCGCTGGATAATATGTCAGTTGCGTCTGGATCTGTAGATCGGACTATTCGGCCCTGGGACTACCGCACAGGGGGGAAGCCCTGCATCTCCCTCAAGGAGCATTCCAATGGAGATGGGCAGTGTCCTTTTCACATGCCGGCAAACTGATCCTCTCTGCATCTGCAGACAGGGTCATTATTAAAGTCTGGGATCACCCCACGGGCGCTTTTTTGCAGACTGTCGAACATTGTTCGCCTGCCGGTAAGCTCTAGGGGAGGGGAGAGGATAACTCTGTCAAATGATATGGCCATTTTGATAGAGTCGAAATGGCGTGGTATGCTATACTCTTGAGCGGCAATTCCGGAATATAAATATCAATCGACCCTTTTCACTCCTCAACGATGCGGAATGCCGCCCGTTGCGCTTATTTTGGTGCACGTATGTGCGGAGGCAGTTGGAGAGGGGGGGGTGGTGATCAGGTCGAGTGTGGATGAAGTTGTATAGATGGAGTCATTAGTTATATATCTAACTTTCTACATGAGCTTTTGCATCTTTGACCCTGGCCGTTCAGACAACTGTTGATGGGCCATGACGTGTGTGTGCCGTCCCTGGGGGGACTTCAGTGATTTACTTACTGCGAACAAAATCTTTGCTCACTCCATGATGAGGGATTGTTGCTCCTTATCGATTTTTGGCTTGGGAGGCTGTGGTTTCACCCGCAGTCCTTTTTTTTTTTTTTTTTTTTTTTTTTTTTTTTTTTATTCATATTTGCAAATCTTTGTTGACTTGTTGTTATTTACAGCTATATACCCCAGTTGAATACTTTGTATCTGTTAATATGAGATACAGTGTACAGTACAAGGAGGAGGAATATCCCACGTACTCCATATATACTAATTAAAACCGGGCTTTCGTAATTCATTCTCATATGATTTTTTTTAGCAGTTCGTTCTCTGTTCCTCTTGAAGCTGCTTTCTGCTATTATACAGCCATCTCGCTCTTTTCAATTTTACGCATCTCCTCTCAATGGTTATACGGAGTACTTCAATTGATTTAAAGCTACTAAAATCGTGTCACCGGTGTTTTCATTCATACCCCATTCATTCACTACGTCATCGTTATAGAAATCGTCAAACTTAGTTGTTTGAAGCTCCGTGCGGAGTACAGGATGTATGTACAATTATTGTATCTTCAAAATTAGCTAACCAGGCAAGAGTGCTATGCTAGAGATATCTTAAAAGAAGCTATTATCATCATCACATCATCACATTAAGAAGTGGCCCCATACGTACAGTACATGCGAAGAAACGACACGACACGACACGACACGACACGACACGACATGACACGACAGGGCGGGAGAATAGTTTATTTGACTCAATCCCCCTTTCCAATCCCAATTTCACTTCAATACCCCCCCCTCCCTTCTTTTTTTTTTCTCTAAAACCTTCATTCAAACAACCCAGCAAGCCACCAAACACCTCACCAGCCCCACCGCAACGTCCCTCCCTAGATGGATCCCCTCCTCGTCCGTCCGTCCAGGCACATGCAGGAACACGACGCTCCGATTGCGCCGTTCCTTGTACGCATGCGCCAGGCTGGTATAGTAGATGAACTCGCATAGATAGCGGCCGGCATCGTCGGAGAGGCGCACGTCAGCTCCGCGCGGGGCGAAGGATTTCCAGGCGTTGAGGAAGCGGGCGTCTGGCGGGGAGGGGGAGGTGGGCGTGTGGGAGGCGGTGGTGGTTATGGTTGTTGTGATTGTGCTAAGGGGGGGGTTTGTGGCTGCTGGGGCTTCGGTTTGTGGTTGTTTGGTGGGCTGGTCTGGTGCTGGTGACGGTGATGATGATGATGATGATGATGATGATGATGATGATGGAGGGGGGGAAGTCGTTGTCGTCGTTGTCGTGGTGGTTGTGGTTGTGGTTGTGGTTGTCATGGCGTTGGCGTTGGCGTTGGCGGCGGGTATTGTGATGGTAGTGTCAGTAACGACAGTAGCTGATATCCCCCTGGTGGTGTAGACCGTGGTAGACGACTTTCTCTGCGTAGCAGCACTTCCATCACCCTCACCCACCGCCTCGCCGCCCCTGGTCTCCTCATCATCACCATCAGCATCACCAGGCATAGTGCGTGGACCCGGCCTAAGCACCTCCGGCAAACCCGCCGCTTTCCAGATAGCCTCACCATCCTCGAAGCCCAGGCGCCCCTCTACGTCTGTGTAGTTGTACCCGTCGCGGCGGGCCAGGGTTTCCACGGCGTAATAGTCCCGCGTGGACGCCATACCGATGTGGATGACGAAGTCCGGTGGGCGGCCGTCATGGTCGTTCTTGAAGGCATCTATTATGGCGGGGATGGCGGAACGGACGGCGGAGTAGGAGACACGGATTGGGGCGGGGTGAGTGTGGATGAGGATACGGCGCGGAGGGGAGGTGGGGGTGGTTTGTGGGAGAGTGATTATTTTTGGAAGGGCGGAGGTGATTAGATAGGAGGGGTTTAGAGGGTTAGTTTTGAAGGGCTGTTAAGTTGATAGGTGTTGGTTGTTGGTTAGCTGGGTGCTCTTTATTGGTGTGTAAGTCTGTCTTATCCATCCACTACTTGCCCAGACTAGTACGGCATTGGGATGGAGATGTGATAGGATTGGATAAGTTTGATAAACTTCCACATACACCAAAGCCAGTAACTAGCACATGGATGTCCTGAACGGACTCCTTGATCACAACGAGGCTATCGCGGAGCTGTTCTCGCTCGTCGGACACCGAGGGGCCAAAATCACCCATGCTGGCTGTGGATGTCGGTAGGCTGTGGAAACAAAAAGCGATTGATACCAGGATGCAGCAGTCAGGCTCCTGTGCGAGAGATGGAGATGGTGCGAAGTGAATAGCGATGGCAGGCAGCTCTCTCTCTAGAGGTTGGAGTTGAGGCAGCTTTATATCGATTGTAACTTTTAGTTGTGAGTTGGCGCCTTTAACTAACATAACTAGTTAGTTAACTAACATAACTATCTTATCTTATCTAAGCGGACGCCAACTTCTTCCCCGCATTTTCATGTTCAACAGCAAAAAGAACAACAACTCACTCAGTGCAAGCTAGCTAGGGGTGGTGTAACTATCTCTACAAGCTTCCAACCGTCTAGACCAACCCAGATATTTAAACAGCCGACCCTGTCCATGCCGGTATTAGAGATAGATGTGTGGAGAAAATAACACCCTCTGATATCCGACGGGGTCCTACTACTTTATTTGCCCCCACAACGCGATAAAAACCGAGGAGAATAGTATGTCTCAAAAGAAAGAGACAGATATTCCGCTGAGGGACTCTTCGCAACACCCTCGCTGCCGGTTGAACCCAGCCGTTTGGTCGTTTTCCGATATGATTGGAGAGAGTCACATAACAACGCTCAGATCTCGTTCTCATTCAGCGCATTCAGCCAGTGGATGGCGGGGTAACTAACTTAACTAGGCCAGCTAGTTTATCTCTCGGACCCCGTCAATATAAAAATGCTATCCCAGACTTTGGCGCCAGCCAAGTTCATTAATTAATAATAAAAAACAAAAAGGCAAGCAAGTTGAAGCGAAAGGCATTCGGGTAACTTAACTTAGGGTGCAAAAAAAATAAATAAAAATAAAAATAAAAATAAAAATCCAAATCCTTGTTTGTCAAGAGCAGACTAGCGCCCAAGAGTCATTTTTCTTCCTCTCTGCCCACAGCTCCAGATGTCCCTCTCTCTGTTCTGTCGGCTCTAACGGATTGAGGATTGATTCATCCGTTTGTGCTATTGGAGCCGACCAAGAGTCATTCTCATTTCTCTAGAGGAACGGGTCCGATTGGCCGCGGTTAGAGCGGGGGAAGAGCCGGGATATTGATTTCACGAACGAATGTGAGGAAGATAAACTACACAGGATGGATTCCCCTTGGTGGTGCACCTACTTCTTGGTGTCCAGGCGATAAAAATCCCTCCCCCCTTCATGCATTCCCGGAAGGAAGCTTGACGCTGATCTTCTAGCCCTCTAACTCACTACCAACCAACAAGGACAAGGACAAGGACATAGGACGGCAGCAGCAGCAACAGCGGCGGGGACGGGGACGGGGACGGCAAACGGAAACGGCCACAACATTGATGCTGGCGAACAGGTTGAACGCTTGGCTGGCAGGTTTTGTTCCAAGCGGCCGGAAAACAAGACCTACTGCGTAGTCTTGTTTCTTTTCCCTCTTCGTTGTCTTGCGGAGGTTTATGCATATAGCTAACGGGCGTGTTTACATTGTTAAAAACGTGCGGCAAATACCAGTGCGGATATCTTTACAGAAATGTGAAGGGGGGAAGAAAAGAAGAAGAAGAAGAAGAAGAACAAGATTGATTGCTGTCCCTATTTTCAATTTTTGTTTAGTCGTGTTATTTATTTATTATACTGCTGGATGCTACCAGAGAGACACATCCACAGAACCACTGAGATAACCAAGTAGTTAGTTACACCTTTGTAGCTGGCTCTCTTCTCAAACAGATATTTAGTTATAACTTAGTTACAAACTAGTCAGTCAGCCAAGTTTTCAAGCCCTCTTAACACACACAGACACACTTTCTTCTCTCTCTCAACTTTCAAACTTGTGTGAACCTGCAAACCAGATCCAAGTTTCAGAAAAGAACATGAGACGACCCGAATAGTTAGTTCCACCGTTGTCAAACAACGTCATTAACTTTCCCCCTTCTACTAAAGGAAAAACTCCCTGGTACGCGCGTGTTTCAGCTGTTGTGGATAACTAACTAACTATTCGTTTTACATTCTTTTTTTTTTTTCGTTTTATTTCATACAAAAAACGGCTTGCTCACCAACCATACGCTGGTACAGCATATAGATCGAAGTACTATGTACAGTGCCTATGCGAAACCAAGCTGGGCCTGCAAAACGTAACCAGGTAGGTAGGGTATATCTATCCAGGTAAATAATTAGGTAGCTAGCTAGCCCAGCTCAGCTCAGCTACGTGTTTCGAGTGTTTTCAAAGACCAGCACAGCACAGCACAGCACAGCTCAGCGTAGGCATGGCACAGGTTCAAAACATCTCAACGGGAAAACGTTGCGGAAAAGTCTCGCTTGCCAACACAGCCTTGATGATCTTGGAAGTTGCCCTCTCTCAGAGCTCTGTACATGTACAATGTCATGTACATACATGCGTACTGTAAGACAGGATATGTGTTGTTGCTGTGCAGCAGGGCGTTGGGCGTGTTGAGAGTTTAGATAGGTGGTTGGAGGTAGTGATGGAGCCGAGGAAATAATGCTGGAGGGAATGAGCTGTTTTTCATTTTTTTTTTATATTTTATTTTTTTATACGCTGATATGTCTGCACCTGCATATGCATTTCTTGCTAGCTCTATATAACTATAACTATCTTACTAGAGACATTAAAAGTTCTCTTTCGAATATCCAAGAGAGATAGAATTCAAAATTAGTTATTGTACTGTAACTAGTTACGGAGTATCTTTTTCTCACATCATCACATCATCACTCACATCAATCAATCCCTCTCACTCCAACTTCTTACCCAGCTTCAATTATTCCACTCACCTGAAACATGAAACATAAAACACACACTCTCTCTCTCCCTCTCCCTCATCGCCTCACAAGAACTGTGGGGGGGAGAGAGGGGGAACATACCACAAATGATACCATACCTACTCCGTACAGTACATACACAGTACCGTGTAATCATACACGTAATAATATAACCACGAACGCGCGCCAGAAATACCCGACGCGCATTTTTCGCGCGTCGGATCGCGCTAACCAGCCAATCATCAATAGCTTATAGTAGTTAGCTACCTACAATGGCCGCGTCGTTTTTCGCGTTCGCAAGCAAGGGCGGGCGAGAGTGGATCCCATCCAGCCCCGATTTTAGCGCCCTGCGAACTACGGCTGCAAACTAAAGCCCGACCTACGGGGTTGATGGAAGGAGGAAGGAGGGAGGAGAGGAGAGAGGACATCTGGCCTATATTTAGGTCTCCGATGGCTATTTCACGGGTTATGATGATGGGGTAGTTAATTAAATGATGTATTTTATTTTTGATATTTCTACTCTCACCCGTGGTGATGGATTTGTGTTGGTTGCTCCCCCCCGGGCTTCGGCTTCTTGGTTGGTTCAGCACAATGGGAATAATGGGGCTTTCGGCACCTGCAGCAATTGTGTCTAAGCAGAGTACAGTACTCCGTTAAGCTTTCGCACCGTTTGTTGGCTGGTATGTATGTATGTATGTATGTATGTATGTATGTATGTATGTATGTATGTATGTGTGTATGTATAGTATGTATGTACTTCGTTATGGGGCTTGAGGAGTTTAGCGATGCGGCTTGCATCTACGGTATAACATATATGGTAAGGAACGCGGAACATAGAGAGACTGGAGGTAGTTCACAGACAAAGTACTCCCGTACTCCGTAATCAATCAAAGCATGCCGAGCTAGCTTCCATATTACCTGTTGTTGTTGTTGTTGCGAGTAGGAAGGCCTAGGTAGGTCTAGAAGGAGTCAAATGACTTGCTTGATATGGGGATGCAGGGAATGAAGGAGGAGAGTTTGGGTAGTTAGCGGGGGAAGAGAATGATGAGCTCGACATTTGTTGGGCATAAAGAATACCTGCTCAATTCAATAATAATAATAATAATAATAATAATAATAATAATAGACACTTTTGTAAACCCAATTCCCAGATATTCAATAATACAGAGTTCGCCGTATGCATGGCAGACGTGTGTTACTCCGTAGAGTGTATATAACTAGGTTACTTTACCTGTTCCCGAGTCTCGGGTCTTGCGCATCATCCGCATCGCATCCAAAATCCAAGAGAACCCAGGAGAGCCCAAGAACTCGCTCCCAGGGGACGAGGCGGGCAAAATCCCACACAGTCCCCGGCCCAGTCGCTGAGATTGATTCCTCACTTCAATACCCTCATTACCCCCCGAATACCCCCAATTACCTCCCATTACCTCCCATTACCTCCATATTACTTCCAATACCTCCCATTTACCTCTCCCATTAACCTCCCCATTGCTTGTCACCACCATCACCCATCCCATCACATGTTCTATTCTACTATTCCCATCCCAAGCTACCAACTACTGCAACAACGCCCCCTTTTTCTTCTCCCTGAGCTTTCTTCTTCTCCTTCTTCTCCTTCTTCTCCTTCTTCTTTTTCTTCCTTCACACCTCAAAGATCCTGTTTTGGCTCCGTTTTTGGTTTCCCCCTCGCGCTGTCTATCGCAAAGTGACCCCCCCCCCCCTAGCCACATTCTACTACTATACGCATTGTGCATACAATACAGACTACGCTTTCTTCCTTACCCTTGCGCCAAGTGTCTACACAGATTAGTGGCCCTCTAAGATCCTCCAAGGGTTATTCGCTTCGGTCCGTTCACGCGCGAACTGCTCTTAGGCTGAACATCCCGTCATTCCAGCGGTGTGTGTGGTGTGTGCAAGGACCCTGAAGAGTCGAGTCCACCCGGCCTTTTTCCTCCTCCTCCTCATCCCCAGCCACCCCTTTATACTACCCTCTCCTCTTTCTCCCTCCCTCTCTCTCTCTCTCTCTCTCTCCCGCTGCACCCCCGAGCCCACTCCCCATCCCAAGGAGGACTCGACCGTCCAGGCCTGCGAATACGATCCTCTCCTCCTCCACTCCTCCTTTCAACCGCTCCACCACACCACACACCCCCCCCCCCGGCTCTTTTACCCGCCATTGCTCGACTCCTCTCTTCTCCTCCCTCTTGATCGCATATCGCCATCTTGCGCAAGGTTGGCTTCTACTCATTACTATTCCCTTGCGGCCTGGACAATCTAATTTTTGGCCGTCACTTTGCCAATTGACCCGGCCTGACTTAAACAGGCCCGCTGCTGCTGCTGCTGCTGCTGGTGGTTAGGTCCAAGCGCTGCGATATTGGAGCCACCGATTCGCTTTGGAAAAAAAGAAGAAAAGAAAATCAAGCGCTCCTTTTTGGAACTGTCAATAAACCTCCAGCGCTTCCCATATATCAGGAACACTCTTCGCGATACTCTTCTTTTCGTCCTAACGAACCTTTTTGGGGTTTTCTCGCTTTGTCGCCGCCATCCACGATGCTCGCCAACTACTGCTACTCCTGATCAACACAACACATCCGGGTCCCGACCTGGCCGCCTTTTCGTCCCGTAATAACACACACAAAGTCCCCGTTTCGAATGACCTGAACCAGTCGGCCCTCTGGAATAAAACCCTGTCTTGATCCTTATCTCCCAGCTTGAGGGGCCCCTTATTATTACGATATCCACGACTCCCCAGATTGGCGACACTGCAGAATCGATATTTCTTATTAATTAACACGACCAGACGTTTCTTTTTCTTTTGTTCAACCATAATCCATTGCCATTGCCATTGCCATTACCGTTCCCGTCTTTGGCCGTATTTCGAACCCGGGAAGCCCACCTGGATATTTTTCTTCCCCTTTTTTTTAACTTGTGCTGAGCAATGTACATGTACAATTGAATTGAAGCCTTGCGACTTCTCGACCCCCACACCTTTATCGACGACCGCACTTCAGCATCTTTATATTAATCGTATCTTTTGCTATTTTGAGATGTGCATGGATTGAAAAAACGAGAACCACGAAATAACGCGACTACGATTTGAACTTTTGGGCGACCATATTCACTACTACTTTCGTTGAATAAGAATCTTTTTTATTCTGTCTATCCATTCAGCAATCGATTACCGATACATTCACGGTTTGTTTAGACGTCCATCGTCCTGGGGGAAAAAACCTAAATAGATAAACAAGATTTTAAAAAAAAAAATTCAAAAAAGCTACAAACCATGCCCTACAGACAGCCAGGGTTGTCCCGAACCCTACCCAAGGACTTCACGTTTTACACTGGCAATGAGCAAGCACGACCAAGGACTCCAGAGCAACATACCAAGGAGCTGACCATGCCGCCGCCACCTTCTCACCATTCTTCCTGCCGTTTCCGCAGACCTCGGCTCACCATGGAAAATCAGCGCGAACTTTTCTGCTCACCAGATATTCCGTTGCCGTCAATCGAGCTATCTCACGATGCTTCGGCCTCTGTAGCGGACATTTTCGACATGGCTGCCCCTCAACTGATAACTGATAATGCGCTACAAGTCCCCCCAAGGGGTAGGGTCGATCCCAGAACGCCTCCAGCTCAAATCAGGGGTACCCCCGTTGACGAAAGGCCTTGCTGGACTTATGGCGATGCTGATCCCATACAACGACCATCATCTGCTTGTTCCAATTTCTCGGATTCTTCTGCTGCGTCGTCGACATCCTATATCTCGCACCCGTCTATGGGGGGAAGCTGTACGAGCCCTGAAAGCGAAATCCAGGACCCTTTCCTCTCGTATCCCATCACTAGTGACGTCAAACAAGAACCAGAGACTCCTTCCAAGCCAAGTAATGTGCAGGAGAAACCTGGCAGAATAGCAACAACTGGACCGAAATGGACAGCTGAGATGGACAACCATCTGTGGAATTCGTATCAGATATATCTGCAAGACCCCAGAATCACCCCGTTCAAAATGGTTCCGGGGAGCGTGCCGCCTTTGGGAGTCTCCCATCGTGTTGCTCGTGAAGCCAGGAAAGCTTGGTTCAGGTCAAAAAATAGACAGAAGAATGGTGGCCCTTCAACCGTAACCTCAGCCTCTGTTCCTGTTATACATGCGGAAGACGTTTGTGGGGATGGAAATAAACAACGAGCAACCGACGATTCTGCGATACGAAGTGGAAGTACGACGCCAACGGCCAGTACCGCAGCTCCCAAGCCAACCTGGCCTAGGTCGGACTCCTCTACTAGAAGACGCTTAAAGGAGCTTTGCAAACGGAAATTTTCAATCGCGCCCCATTATCAACGACTGCTTCAATCTCGTAGTCCGTCTCCTTTCATGGAAACGTTTCCAGAATCGACTGCTAGGACTCCTTTACAATTAGGGGTATCTCATAGAAGAGCTGCCTCTTTCGCGACTCGAGATCTTGGAGTATCGTTGGTGTCCAGCTCTCTGCCAACTCAGGTCGCGGAATTGGGACCTCCAGTGAACGATCTGGTCGGTAACAGCTCAGAAAATGATTGGTTTAATAACATTTCAGGTGAACACGAACTACCACCCCTGAGCTCTCAAAATCGCCACAGTGACCCATCATCATCGCTCGACCACTACTACCACAGCAAAACAACCCGCGCCCTTTCCAACCCAATCCCTCGCCTCGGATCTCCATTTATGTACCATACCTGGGGTCCTGGCAGCTCCCGTCGCCGTCTCCGTTCCGTCACACCAGCCAGCCAGTGCGAGACAATCCACACAGCCAGCTTAAAAACCCGATCGCCGGGCGCCCGCATTGACCCGCTCGGGAACGCTCACAAGCGGCGAGCCCTGCACCAGTTGGAAGACGAGTTGGACTCGAGCGGTGGCAGTCTCCAACGTCCCTTCCCAGATCTCATCCGGCAACCTAGATACAATGATATTATTGGCCAGAGGCGCATTCGCGTGCGGAACAGAGGTGTCACGACGGGCGCAATTGGTGGTTCAAGAGGACGATTGGATCAGCTTTTCAACCCTCCAGCTCCATTTTCGGCGTTTTCTGGGACTTCTTCTACTTCCATTTATACTGCTACGGATACGGCTGCGGCGACAACGGTTACGACTGGTGCTAGAGAAGGCGCCAGTGACAGACAAGAAGCACAGCAACAGGATAATAATATTAATCATAATATTAGTACTATTGACCACCATTTGCGACTGGGCGATGATATTAAGCGTCTCGGCTCCCCGTTCCACTCTGACCCTTTCACCAAGTACCTTAACAAAAAACGTCATATGCCATCCCACTCCCCCCGTCATGCACCCTCGCTCTCCGATCCATTTATCTCAACTTCCTTCGCCAACATGCTCTCTGCTACCGCCAGGGAACGAGAACGTTACCATCCCATGTCGATGTCGAATTATCAGGAACCGCCCAGTGAGAGCACTATGACCACTCCCCGCGCGTACTACGACACAGACAAGGAAGGGAAGGAAGGCGTGGGTGCTGGTGTAGCGGATGGCGAGGTAGTGAAACTTGATACGCCTAACACGCCGTTCTCATAGCGCCTCCTTTTCCATTCCTTTTCCGAATCTCCCCATGCGCGCTAGAAAAATTCATCTTCGATTCAGTGGACATTTTGTTTTATGAAAAAAAAAAGATGCTTTTTTTTACTGCTCTTCTGTACGAAAACGATGACGACAATACGACAACGACTATGAAAACGACAATGACAACGAAAACGAAATCAAAGGAGTCTATACATAAAGACATAAATCTCTTTTTTTTTATGAATTTTTTTTCATGACCGGCGACGACTTGTGAAAAAAATCATGTGAATGCACATTTCCTTATCTTTGTTCTCTATCTTTTCTCCTTTCTTTTCAAACTTTAACATTACCTTCTTTACATCATTTCCTTTTTTCTCTTTGCCTCTATTTGTTCTGAATATATCTATTTTGCTCATATTGGGATATATCTGGGGACTTAAATTGGTTTTTTTCTAGTATGTGTCGCGGTTGGAATATGTCTGCCTGCCTACGTATCTATCTACTTACCAGATCCCGACTGCATTCCTGCGCCTGCAATGATGCTCGTAGGAACAACGCTTTTGCTCCGGGCGGATATGAGGAGGATTTGATCCTAGGACGACTGGAAACGCGACTTCGATACCGTACCGAACAATTTGCGAAGCTTGATTCCCATTACTCACCTCTTTATACAACCTTGCCTAAGACTAAGGGGGGACACAAGGGGAGATACGGACGAAACAGCTTGAATTCGAAAACAATTCCACCTCCAACAGAAACACAAAACCTACACCGCGAAAAGCAAAGCAACAATACGTTGTAATTGTCCTTCCTCACCTCACTCACTATCTTGACGCTTTCCACTTTATTTCCTTAACTGCCTTCTGTTTGGATTTATATCCTCCGCTACCCAAATCAAGACGTAGCCCTACTACTTGCCACCTTTCCCAACCATGGACGATCTATCGATGTACATGACGGATGGAGTCGACGGAAAAAAAAAAAAAAGAAAGAAAATTAAATATAAATATCGCGCTGAGCAAACACAACAAAACGTCGACTCCATCTTAGGCAGAACGAAGATCGTGGGATGGATGAGATGGGATGCGTTTGGGGCTATCTTGTGGGGGTTATCCGGGACATTTCAAGTCTCCAATCTTCAACAAGACTCTCACTCTTTTTTTCTTTTCTCCTTTTATACTTTCTATTTTGACTATTTATGTACCAAATGGGCTCATGCAACAAAGCCAATGAAACAAATGAATGAATGAATGAAACAACTGCAACATAAATGATATGAACAACAATATGAAAAAAAAAAAGAAAAAAAAAAGAAAAAAAAAGTCAAAAAAACAAAGAAAGAAAGAAATAGAATGATGAATAAAACAAGAGAGGAAATAAACACTGTTGATGTTCTGAAATAAAGGTCTTTTTTCTTTTTATTTTGATATTTTTGTTTCATCTTCATCTTCATTTCAATTTTCATTTTTCATTTCATTTCATTTTTTTTTATTTTTTTTTAACATACATAGTTAACTATTACTTTTTATATAACAAATGACTGACTAACTAACTGATCTATCTTTGAGAGCTCTTACTTGCTGCTAGCTATCTATTCTGTTCACCATTTTTTTTTTTTTTTCCTTCTCTTGTTCTTCGTTCTTTCTGTCTTAGATCATGTTCCTGCTTCTACATATGTATGTACTCTGTACATTGTACTTACATATGCTGTATGTAAACCATGCGTGCTCCGCTGTGTTTGGTTTTGCTTTGAGACCTATTTTTCCCCTTCTCACATAATTGATGTATACTGTACCTGAATAACAGAAGGCATAAGATCCTGTAGAAACATAGTGAATAATAACACAGTCAGATTTAACTGGAAATTTTTGCATGTAGGAATGCTCATTATTATTTATTTATTTATTTATTTATTTACAGGAAATAGAAGACAGGAAAATGAAGAAGAAGAGGGGGGGGGGGGGGGGGGGGGGATTCTAGGAATGCCAGCGTGTGCCACTCACTACCCACCACCACCCCCTCTCAACTCATTCTCGCGGGAGCAGTTTTGTAGTATGTACTATACAATGTGTACATGTAGAGCACATACACAGGGTGGTCAAGTAACACACAGAAGATGGGGAAAACCCCCGGGGAAGTGATTGTTTGTTGTTGTTGGGGGTGGTTGTAGGAGTGTAAAAATAAGCAAATAAGAGTTTCGGTTGAGTTATAGATTTGAAGGAAGCGGGAGGGAGGAGCCCGAGTCCGGACACGAGAAACGATAACCCGGAGGAGACGACAGGATCGAGATCAGATCACAGGCTGGCTGGTGAACAAAGGAAACAAAGCACAGCACGGCCACGAGCTGCTCTTCTGTCATCGTTGCTGGGAGTTTGACCGAAAAAAAAAAACCAAACTAAAAAAAAGACGGCTCCAAGGTTCCACGCACGGTAGATCGTCTAGGCCAGCCAGGTACAGAAGCTTACTCCCAGACAGATCCTTGGAAGCATGGAAACCTTTGACCTCCGTCTACTTGGCAATCATCCTCTCCAGCTTCGCTAACTGGGCCTGTAACCCCTTCCTCTCCGCATTAGCCACAAGCCAACCCTCCATCTTCTCCCGAATATACCTCATCGAATTAAGAACCGGCAGCGTAGGGCCAGTGTGACCACCACCATCCTCCGCATCGATATCCGAGCTTGGCGGCGAGGGAATCCCTTTCTCCATCTGCACCCACTTATCGCCTTGGGGATTTAGACATAAATCAAAGGTCTCAGCCCAGATCTCCCGCTCCCAGTATCGCTTCAGAGACTCCTTGATTCGATATGCCTTTTTGGCTCCGAGACCCGTTCTCCCGGCGTCGGACATGCCTAGTCCAAAGTCACCATCTCCTGACCTGCGGCTGCCAGTACTTCCATTCTCCCCACCCGAGGCTCGACTAGAAGTAGCAGGTGCAACCTCCATGTACTTGCCGAACAATAGAATATGAATGACACCTGCGAGCCCGTACATATCGACCTGGTACGTCCAGGGCCGGCATTCCCGCATCTCGGAACACTCGTGTGCACCGATTTTCCAATCAGCAATAAACTGCACGTTTTTTGGGAAGACCTGCATGTCAACGCCACGGCCAAAGTCAATCAAGGTTAGCCCCTTATTTCTCCAGCCACCTGCGCCTGTCGGGGAATAACCCGCCTGGGCGTCCAAATCGGACTCGTCAGCTAGGCGGGACACAGGGGAATTGAAACGTTCGTCTAATCTGATAAGGCAGTTGTCCGCTTTCAGATCGCCGTGGAGAATACCGCAGGCATGTAGGGCTTCTATGGTACGGAATAATTCCACAGCGAAAAACATAACAACAATCTCATCGAGCCCTTGTTCCGTTGGCACAGGGGAGTTATTGTTGACAGCGTTAATAAGGTCAATCACCGTCCCTTGGTTTTGGTAATCTTCCACAAGATAACCCTCGTCTTTGAAGATATGCATCTCATGTGCTTGTATGATGCTGTCCGTAACCCGTCTATAGGTGGGAGATGAACCGATGCGTGCATGCGCGATTCGGAGCATATAAAACTCCCAAGCAGAAGGTGATTCCGACTCCACCTTGATTGCCTCCAAGCCTCGTCGTTCAGCATCCCGTCGAGACTTAAAGGGGCTCACACTCGCAGAAATTCGACTATGATTATTCGCAGTTATGGTACCATTTTCTTTCTCAGAATCCGAAGTGAGAGTGTCTGGCGAATCAACGCTTTCAACCAGGTATACAGGAGCGAAGCCACCTTCCCCTAGCTCCTGATTGATAGCGTAGCTCCGGTTTGCCCCTGTAAAACAGAGAACCGGCGGTGTTAGAGCTGGGCGGTCGGCTCCGCTACCCTTAGGCTGTTTCGAGACACTTTTGATGTATTTGCGAATATCGGAAGCGCGGCCTGCTCTTTGGCTTCCATGATCATAGTAACCCGGATATGTGTGAAGAGACGGGTAGATATTCTTGAGGATCTTCTCTCTAATTTCCGGGTCGATCGGATTGCATTGGGATTCTTCGATGATAAGCTGCGATTTGTGTGGGTACTTGGCCTTCTTTGGTGAACGTTTCATCTTTTTCGCGAGGCGGCTCGGAGAACTCTCCTCAGGCAAGGACGAAAAGACGGTGTCGTTCGACTGGGTAAACTCATGGAATGGGCTACTCAAGAGCAGGTCATCCATCTCTGGGATCATAGGGGTTGAGGGCACCGCTTTTCTCGAGGGAGTCTTCGTATTCGCAAACATTTTGCCTTTGAATGTTGTCGATCCAAGTGATGACTCCGTCATTTCCACAATTGGGGTCATAAATGGCAGTCTGTTCTGGGCCACTATCGTAGCGTCGCGGTAAGGGCCTAAAGGGGCATTGTAATCTTCTGGAGGAACAGGCACAAATCTACTTTTGGTTTGAGACATTCCGGCTGCTGGAGTGGACATGTCGTTCATGGCAGGGTTCGTTAAAGAGGAATCATGATGAGTTATGCCTGTTAAGGATTCAATATCTAGAGTGTGTGGTTGTGTTATATCTTGGCCTTGTCCATTGCTTCCTTCAGGGTAGAGACTTGGGACATGTCGACTGGCAGTGAATTCTGTCCAATCACCTACACCAATACTTTCAGCATGCGTCTCATCCTGCTCGAAATGACTGTCCTGTCTTGTCTTTCGGAAGCCAGTTGTCTCGTCCTCTCCAACCTCGCTGGTTGTTCCGGATATCCTGCCTGTACATGTGCTCTCCCCGGCACTCGTGTAGTCATCGTCCTCATAGTCGCTCCCACAAAGGCTCTCTGCAAGATCCCTTTGCCTTTCTGATTTAAGCGGCTGGTTGAAAATACTGTATATTTCATCTGTGGCAGCTCGAGTATGGAACGTCATGGTGGGTTCTGACGCATTTCTGCGTTTTAGTTTGGGGCCAGTCGGCGATTCCAGGTTGGTTTTGACTGTATTTTGTGATCAGTTCATCCGCATATGTTAAGAAAACACAACTATTTTAAACTATGAAAGGAATAACACAACAAAACGTACCTGTTTGCGTCTCCCCTTTAATTTCGCGAACTTTTAGACGTCTCGATTTCGATCCTTTCCCATCACGGTTAACTTCCACACCTTGGGGGTCCCCTGGTTGCGGGGACTGTTCATGTATTACAAGCTTGTCCTTCAATTGTGTTGACATGTTCTTAGCCATTCCATCTTCTCCATGCCCGTAGGTAGGCGGATCTCTGTATGGGACATTGGCAGATATCTCCTTCAACGGCTCTATTTCTTGCTTCGACCAATCTTTGTCCATCCATCCCCGGCTGAATGCTCGTAGCTCTTCAAGACTCATTTCAACGAGCGGATTTTCGGGGTCAGGGTATATAGCTTCAAGGTTGACATACACTCGTTCAACTTTACCAGTTCTGGGATTGGTTGATTCCTTCTCATTGCGAGGAAGCGGTATATTGTTTACTATTATTGCTTGTGGGTGTCCTGATAAGGACGGTGATGTAAATGTCTGAAATACACAGAAAAAACCGAAGAAAAACGCCATAGGTTTACATATCAGAAATTAGTCCTGTGGTCGTAAATATGGGACATCAGATATGCGTTTGAGTAATGGGGAATTCAAAAAAAAAATACGTGACTTACCTTATCCTTAAACACCGTCATCTTTGGTCCTGTTCCAACCCGCTTTCCTGCTTTCAAAGTTTCTCCTACCCAAGGCTTCACCTCCACTGTATTCTCCTTCCTGCGATCTTGAAGTGACCCGATACTCTCCCAACCTTTGGTTTCACTACCGGCCAGCGGTTTTCCACCATCCTGCGCGCTGTCAGCGTCAGAGAAAATCGTCATCTTTGGCTTCCCCGATCTCTTTGCTGTCGGCCCTCTGGCAACTGTTGGCGCTGGGGCTTGGGGATCAACAGGAGACGGCGTAGCAGAAGAGAAGGGGTCAATTTTCGCTGCCAACGCTGGCCTCACTTTGGGCAAGGCAGGTGAAGATGGTCCGTCCGAGGCCCTTGGTTGCTGTTCAAGACGGGCTCGAAATTCACTGAATTTTCGTAGCAATCGTTCAGTAGGCCGCGCCTCTCGCTGTAGCCCTAGTTGATAAACCTCCTTCGCCTGGGTAAACCTCCCAGCGCCTTCTAACCAGGAAGCAAACTCTTCGTAAAATAAGGCAAGTCCCTCTCCAATACCGTGTCGTGCCATAAATGCAAATGTCTCGCGTGGTGCGTCGGAGAAAAGTCGAATATAATGTAGCCAAAGCCTTAGATATCGTGGGTCATTCTTATAATGGGCGGACGGCAAGAATGCCTTTGTTGCCCGCTCTAGTAGCGGTAAAAGGCCAGACTGTGGCGTAGCCTGTGCTGATGGGTATGCATCCAAAGTCCACTTGACGTAGCGGTCATATATATCTAGCGGATCGTCAGATTCTGCGATAGATTGAAGCTCGAGTTCGTATTCTCTCCGGATTGCGTCGTTGAAAGTTCTCGTCTCGTTCAATCCCGGTGACGACGTAGCGCCGCCACCAGGGCCGCCGGAAAGAACTGCAGCAAGCGCCCTCGCTGACCGTCCACCTGGGAGGGATTGAACATTTTCCTTTTGTGCCTCAATTAAGTCGAAGTCGATCAAATCCCCCGGCGCCATTGTGGATTTGGGGCGGTAATGGGAGCAACTGGGCGGTCATGCAAGGTCAAGAATACAAGGAAAGTGAGGAACCTGATCGTTAGTATGGCATTCGTTGAACTAGAGGGGTCAAATGGCGAGGAGCTGTCTGTTGGATGTCGAAAACTATCTTCTCGACCGTTTTTTTTTGCTGGGTGTTGTTGATTCGTCAACAAATGATTGTCGACCGCTGTTGCCGTGGTAACAGCCACGTGAACACAATGAGTCAGTTCTTAGCTAATCATTTCGCTCCGGAGCTTCACATCAAAATGTTTCCAGAGTCCATATGGCAGTACACAGGGTCACTGTCGCCGTCCACTTTCGAAGAAACACTTCAACTTTGCCTTCTAGAAGAGTGAAGTTCCAGCAATACTAATAGTTTTGTGTGTGCCAACATACCTCCATCTGTTAAAAATGGCAGCATCCCATCTAGCCGGGTTGGAAAGCTTGGCAATAACGCACACCTACTCTGTACATCAACGGTGACAGCCCCGACGTCGCCGTGATGCTCATTCGCGATCTGTTTGGCTGGACCTTCCCAAACCTGCGCATATTAGCCGACTACTATGCGCGCGAGGCCAATGTAACTGTATAGTATACCTACCCGACTTCTTCGGGGGGGTTATATTGTCATTCGAGAACATCACTACTGGCAAGTTTGACTTACTCAACCTCCCGAACCTCATGAAACAAAACGGTCGCGATATACGTGAACCCGAAATCTTCGAGTGCGCCAGGGCCCTGCGTCAGACATATGAGAAGGTTGGCGCCATAGGCTTCTGCTAGGGGGTGGGCCTTTTTCAGACTGGGGGCGAAGGAATACCAACCACCCCTTGTCGACTGTATCTTGATAGGGCATCCAACGTTTCTGACCAAACAGGGCATCGACGAGGTGGTGGTTCCCGTGCAGATTCTGGCTCCTGAAACTGATCACCTGTATCCACCCGAACTCAAAACGTATGCACAGTACGTTTGAGACGATCCAGAAACTGGGCTTGGCAAGCCCTTAGATTATCGGCATTTCCCAGGCGTGGAGCATGCCAGTGCTTGCTTCGTTCGCGGTGATGATAGGCATCGAGGGGAACGTGAAGCGATGACGAGCTAAGAATGCGGCTGTTGGCTGGTTTAAACAGTGTTTATTCGAGTCGTAAGGATGGGATATACCGGGTCCTTTTGATCCCTACTTTGTCTGATTTATGGATGTTGACCACCCGTACACGATCCTTGTCATGAATACGGTGTCTACGGCTGGATATATCTTGATATCGGAATTGCCAAGTGACAATAAGTTGGCTTTTCTTTTTCACTATGCTATATTTGCTACCAGTTGGATATAACACGATGCAATTGAGTACATTTGAAATATTTTAACCCACATTATTCTTATATGCAATTTTGCTGTTCAACCCGTTGTAGGAGACATCCAATGCGTCATTTCTTTCACAGAATTAATGGAGGTATTCAACTCTGCTAGTCTGGAAGAAACAATTTGCTCGGTCCGAGTGCCCAGGGATCAAACTTGCCTATTGTGGCTAGCGTTGGCACGTCCCTAACCCTAGCTCGGTAGCTTGAGTAGCTCCGAGGTCGCGTTATCAAATCTTCGTTCTGCCCATTCTAACATAAAACCTCCTGAGATTTCAGTCCTGGACTCCCACAAATTGTTTCAACTACGGGACCGGAGACGCTCCTTCATATGACTCTGTAATAGTGTCAAGAAATTTCCCCCACCCTAGTCCACCTCAAAAACGTAGTAATGGCGACTCGCGCCACCCGCCGCAGCTCTCGCCTTGCTCCGAACACCACTCCGACGAAGCAATCCCCAAAGACGCAAGAATCAATTAACCGTCCTGTCAGTTCCCCAAAGCTTACATCGAAACGTTCTGAACCTACACCATCGAGTAATAAAATCGATAATAAAATCAACGGCGCCCTCGGGGTAGAGCCATATAACGGAGCTGACGACGACTACGCCGTTGTGGGAACTGTGGAAATAGAACATACGAAAGAGGTTATGGTAAAGCAAGAGACAGTTGAAATTTCAAAACGAGGTACGAAAAGAAAGGCGACAGTATCAAAGTCCCAACAGTACTCTAGTGAGGAGGAACAGGAAGTCGAAGTAAAAACCCGGAAGGAAGAGCGGACGAAAAGGACAAAAGTAAAGGAGGTCACTATAGAAATGAAGCCCCTGGCGCCTCGAACTGCGAATCTGCGGATGTTTGTCGGAGCGCATATTAGCGCTGCGAAAGGTGTGTATTGCGTTCATACAGATATATATTCCCCACCACATCTATATCGCTACTCTATAGCAATATATGTCAATCAAAGCTAATACTTGCTGTAGGAGTCCATAACGCAGTCACAAACAGTGTTCACATCGGGTTAGTATTTTGTGCGGAAAATGCCGTATCCATTCCCCGGTTTTATAGCTGAAATCAGGTCTTTTTTTTCTAACCTGAGGTAGGGGAAATGCCTTTGCCCTGTTTCTAAAATCACAGAGAAAATGGGAGAACCCGCCATTACAAAACGAGCATCGAGACCAATTTCGGCAACTTTGCTCAGATTATTCCTATGATGCTTCGAAGTAAGCCACCATTTGACCTCAACCCTTCCAAGGGAAAGCACCTACTATGTAAGCTAATTCAGATCCAGATATGTTCTTCCTCATGGCTCGTATTTGGTGAATCTGGCGCAAGAAGACCCGACAAAAGCGAAGCAGGCATACGATTCCTTTCTTGATGATCTGAAACGTTGTGAAGAACTTGGTATCAAGCTTTATAATTTCCAGTACGTTTCAGTCCAGGATCTAGTCCCCATACATGCAAAGCATTCCATGGAATAGGTAATAATTGATTCATTACAAACAGCCCGGGAGCAACCAACCAGACTACCCTTGAGTCTTCATTATCTCGATTGGCACAAGCTCTCATCTCTGCTCTCAAAGCTACGACAACAGTTGTTCCAGTTCTCGAAACAATGTGCGGCCATGGAACCACAATAGGAGGCTCACTATCGCATTTCAAAGCACTTCTTGCCCTCATTCCAGATACCTACCGCTCTCGCATTGGGATATGCGTGGACACATGCCACAGTTTTGCGGCCGGGTACGACCTCCGTAGCCCTAGTAGCTGGAATAATTTCATGGAAGAATTCGATAAAGAAATAGGCCTGCAATACCTACGAGCTTTCCATTTGAATGACTCCAAAACGCCACTGGGTAGCCGACGAGATTTACACGCGAATATAGGAACAGGATTTCTGGGTCTGAGGGCATTTCATAACTTGATGAATGACAAGAGACTAGAAGGCATCCCGATGATATTAGAAACTCCCATTGACCGACCTGCGAAATCGGACGCAGAGACGGCAACTGGACAACCGGACGACGAATACGGAGTGTGTAAGGACGATCATTCAACCGAAACAACTACCAAGAAGAAAAATAGCCGTACCAAGAAGGGGCCAGCTAAGAAAGCAAAACCTGGTAAGCCGGTTATGATTGAGGATAAATCCATATGGGCGAAGGAGATAAAACTTCTCGAGTCGCTTATTGGAATGGACACTGAGAGCGAGGAATTTCTCAGACTGGAGGCGGAATTGGCAGAGCAGGGGAAAGAGGAAAGAGAGAAACATCAAGCGATGTGTGACAAGAAGCGGGATAAGGAGGGAAAACAGAAGGATCTACGAGATATGTTTGCTGTCAATGGAAAGGCGAAGGGGAAGGGGAAAGCGAAAGTGAAAGCTAGTCCTACTAGTGTGGGTAAAAGGAAGAAGGCCGAAGAGGAGAGCACTGATGACTCCGACTAAGTGAATATTTTTTCGTAAATTCGGGGAGGGGCGTGCTCCAATTTTTGATGTCAAGATCCCTTTCATTTTTCCGATATATTTGGATCGTGGCCCTTGGTTATCCTTTCCCACCAAACTTCTCTCTCTCCTTATGTTTTGGGGGCCCAATTGGTTAGCGCTTTCGCCTGTGGGAAGTTTTAGCCTTCCCGGGGGGGGGGGGGGGGCGGTTTGATGGTTTTGACTCTCACCCACCCCCTTTTTTATTTTTTGATGTCATGTTCTGGCTGCTTTCTTCCGTTGTGGAGAATAATAGAATCTATTCAGAGGTAACTAGGGGAAATATTTAATTGAAGGCGCAGGTTAAGGTGAAGTTCAACCAACGCTTGAGATATTGCCGGGTATATTCAAGTCAAGTCTTGTCTTTGGAAGGGTGTTCGGTATAAAATTATGGGGCAGGATTGGGACAAATGTATTTCGAGTGGAATTGAGTTTTCGGGGGGTGCAAAGTTCAATATGACAGGAAACAGGAAATCTACTCGATATTAGAAACGGAAGCAAGAAAGGCGGTAGATGAAACAATGCAAGGCGAGTAGCCACCGGGAAAACAGAATGGATACGGAGAGGCTAAGATATATGCCTTCCCTCCTCCGGCATTCATTATGGATCCAACCGACCGGCTCCTACTCCTTCATCTGCTTGCTCGCAGAAACACACCAGTTATTCCAATCCGAGAAGAACGACGGCTGGACATGACACTTCTTGCTGGTAAGCTGCTTCTTGCGCGTCTCGGCATAAATATCGACAATACCGGACAAACTCTCCTTATCATGTGCCACAAGAATCTTCACCAGCAGCAAACTCGCCTGGCTACAGGACGACGCGTGAGCAGCCGGCGCGCTATGCGTAGCTTCCTGATGCACAGCTTTCAATAGCTCCCAGACCGGCTCCGCAGATTCAATGGAGGGGATGCTAGCCGCTCCCTTGCATTGTTTCGTATATTCTCTGAGCACATTGCTGGCGCGAGCAGCGATCTGTTTGGTCCTTGACTTGCGGCTGAGTTGTAATAGCGGCATAAGAAGGTCCAGGGCGAGGATGTTGGAATGGCACTTCTTCACATAAATTTCGAGCAGGTCGAGCACGCGGTTTTTGAAATTCAGCATGGTCTCCTTTGCGTCTTTTTGCTCTTTCTTTTTGCTGTAGACTTGTTTACGGGCGCGGAAGACTTTTGCGATTTGGTCGTCGAGGGCTTCCATTTCGTCGTCATCCATGGAGGCATCCTCAGAGTCAGAGGTGGCATCAATGTCCTTGTCGGCTCGGTGGGTACCTAATGCTGAAGCAAGCTTCGCTTCGAAGGCCTGCAGTTCATCATCGTCTTCCTCTTCCGACTCTTCTGATTCGTCCTCGCTGTCGTCCTCGGAGGCCTGGCTGATTACTTCAACATCATCCTCGTCTTCGTCATCATCATCATCATCATCGGAGTTTTGAGCATCAACCATTTCTATATCACTGCCAACTTCTTGACTCTCAAACATTTCCTCTTGGCCAGCGAGCGTGTCCTTAGCTTCAAGCACCTTTTTGGGAAAAGAGAGTCAGCATATGTCAAGTATATCAAAAAGCAAATAGAATGGGGACAAGCATACATCAATCAAAGATTGAAGACCAGTCGCAGTAACCTGATCCGCAAAAGCGCCAAACACTTGTTCACTCATCCGACGGAATAGTTGCGATTGTTTCGACGAGAAGCTGAGGAGGATTTCCACGAGCGCATCTGACGCCTCGTTTGCCTCGTCACGCTCTGCCTTGTGACCGAGAAATTTAGAGTAACAGAATTTTAGCTCGTCAAGCATCGAAACAGCGTCGGCATCCCCATTATACACCTGCAATATCGTCATCGAGTACAGGAGTTTGAAAGCCTGGATACTAGATCCTTCCTTTTTCTCGGCGCGTTTTTCCTTTTTTGGGGTCGGTAAAGTTAGCCAGAATATATCAAACGAGGAGGGTTGATGTACTGTTTTCTACCTTAGAAGTAAGCTTCTTTAACGTTTTGAAAGCCGCCGCAACAGATCCCTTAATGTCTTCACCCATTTCAATGACAAATTTGCCCCAGTCCCCATCCACATCCATTTCATGGATCTTGCGAACCACGGCGTAAGGGATGGCAGCTGGGCTTTTCCGGCCACTGATGACGATATTCAGACATGACATCAGTCTATTACGAAACAATTCCTGGGTGGCTTCCATGACAGGAGGTTCTGCTGGCGTTTGTTTGCTTTTGGCGTTTTCGTTAGATATAAAATAAGCAAAGCGAGCCAAGAGGAGCAAAACACTCTCGATTGACGACTGTAGCTCGTCCGAAACAGTGGCGTTAATGGCAGCCGCTTGTGTCCTCACAACCGAGAGTAAATATGCTGTGAGTTGTTGGCGAGTCGACGCGGCAGCTTTTACATCTTCCATGCCGGGTCTCGCAATCATACTTTCAAATAACGGGATAATCTCCTTCAAAGTATCCGCACTGACCGCAGAAATCATCTTTTCAACAGTCTTGGTCTTCGTAATGTGGTCAAAGTTTACCGCACCAGTCGGGCCCATTAGTCCGTTAATAGCGGCCACAATAAACTCCGGCTCTCTCGCTACACGCGCCTGGACGGATTTCAGTGCTTTGGCAGCTATCCGGTGAAGATACCGATCTTCAACAGCTAGCTGATTCATGAAACACCGCATGAGGTTTTTGGTGAAGACTGTCTCAGCGAGATGTGGAGGAGCCTCGTTCATGCTCTTTATAAAAAGAAGGAAACCCCAGTATTTACGTTCCTCGGAGGACGCAGCCGCAAATAATCCTTCTACTCGACATTAGTGCAAATTCCAAAGTGCATGTTTAAAGGTTAAAACTTACTATCAACAACCTCAGTCCAAATATCAGTGAAACTAGCCTGAGTGGCTTTTGAATCCTTGGTCTTTGACGATCCGTTCTGTCCGGGTGGTTGTGTAGAGAGCTTTTGCAAGACAATTTCCCACGCAAAATGCAATTTTGGATTCCAGACTCCCGAATTCTGTGCTTTACCATTCTCCCTCCCAGGTTCAGATTGTGATTCGGACGTTTCTTTCATTATTTTCGCAAGGGAAGCCTTTTCCCGTACGTGTAGTGGACTACCATGCTGCCATACATCCTCAGGGAATTTCATTGTTGCAAAAAGATCTTTCGCCGCAATCCATATGGCGACACCTTCCGGGGTTTTAGCAAGGCCATTCTGACAGAGCGAATCCAATGCCGCCTCAGCATATTTAACATCAAATTTGTGAGTCTGAATTTCTCGTAAAGAACAGAAGACTATCCATCCGCACTCTTCACGAAGCCATGGTTTCTTCTTGGCTAGGTCAAATAAGGTATTGAGGATCTTAATCCATTCTTCGAACGGCACCTGGGACTGAAAGAGCACTGAAGATTTAATAAGAGCTTCCGCTCCAAAAAGTCGTCCAAAATGGTGATCTCTCTCCTCCTATCATCAAGGTTAGCAAGAACGAATGATTTCATATACTTGGGGATATCAATAAAAGAGCTAATCTTACCTGGCCTGATGCGGAACCTCCAGGATTTGACTGCGCTTCCCAAATCTCAATCGCTCTTGAGATATCCAAACTCGAAGATGGCAGATCTCTACGAGACGAGAAAAGTTGAGAAAGTGTTTCCGTCAAAGCAATTGAGAACCCGATTCTAGCGGCCTTTCGGCCGCTGCAGAGTCCACGAAATAAGCGTTGCAGTGTCTTTTCGATTTGCTCATCTGTAGGTTTCTGATCGGGAGTAAATCGAGACACAAGCCGCTGAGCAGCTTTTAATCTAATCTCGTCATTCTCGTTGGCTAGGTCTTCGTAGATTTCTACCAGCTTAACGTCCACGTTAACGGGTTCGCGACGTCTTTTTCTGGACGGAGGTGGAAAGGAAGCCATGCTTTTCTATCCCTGGTAAATATGAGGATAAGAATGCAGAATTACTCTCTATGAATGGCGGTCTCTTTCCTCCTTAATTGATATATGTCTTAAGGGCTATGAAGAATTTAGGTGTATATCTAAATTAGTTATTTTGACGAAATTTCAACCAAAAAATTATTTTGATGCTTGGACATATTCGGACTAGCGCCATCAGATAAAGCTTTCCCAAGAGTTTAGCATAAAAATCATGGCGTGACAAATAAAGAGGCTAATCGCCAGCGTCGCTTCCCCAGCGGCAAGTCTCTGTGGCGCAATTGGTTAGCGCGTTCGACTGTTAATCGAGAGGTTGGAAGTTCGAGCCTTCCCAGGGACGTTTATTTTCTTCTTCTTTTTTTTTTTTCCCTCCCTTGTGTGCGTTTCCTTCCCCTAAATGAGTAACTATTCCGGGCACACAGCCAGCGAAAACTCACCTCACACAAATGGTGAGAGCCATCCAAGAGGGAGAACGCTGATTCTTTTATTTTGGCTTTCAAAGCAAGGACGAGCAGCTGCCGCTTATCTGACGGATCAACAATTGCGTGAATTGTTGTTGTGTTCAGATGGGCTGGTCAAAGAGATACAAACGTTGAAGGATTCAGGGCTTCGCGTTTCCACGACTTGAGAGACCAATATACATTCCCTTTCTCCCATGCACCGACCCGCAGAAAACTGACGAACACGAAACCCTAGGGCAGGGTCACCTCAGAATATTTGTGGCGGACATATTACTTGCGAAAACAGAATTTTCCCAGCCCCCTCTGAAAATTAGTAGCAAAACACCACCAAAAAATCAAAATATCTGCATTTCTCTAGAATCATTCAATATCATTCAATACGCGTCTTTTTCAATCAAATATCATCCAAATACGCGTCTTTCTTATCTTTATCATCAAATCCACATATATCAATCAACCCTTTTTTCAATATGCCTCATAACACCTGCTGTCCTGCTGCTTCACAAGCCTGTACAGAGACTCCTGCCCTGCATCTCAGTCTCCCCAAACTACCTGTTTCAGAAGTTCTGGATAATGGAGAGGATTCAGTCAATGATGAGATGGAGAAGCAGATGAATGAGAAGGATATAGAGACTCAGTCTGAGGATTCTTGATATCCGCGAATCTCTACACCTGAGTCTGACATCTCATACAGATTGTATGAATGGGTGATTATCAATGAGATAAAGAACAAGAGAGATGACAAAATGATTAATGAGTAGAAAGAAGAAGAAGAATTAGAAGAATGAATCTATAATTTCTACAATCAATTCTTCTATACAGATCTCTCAAATGTCAGTGATTATATTCCCTTCTTCAGCTCTGGCAGCTTCAACTTCATTCAATATGACATTCTCAAGTGAGATAATCAATGTGATGATGATGAAATATATGATGAAAGGAATAGAAGAACTGAATTCACAATCTCATTATCATCCACATTCAGATCTGCTGTTGAATCTTCCATCAAATCCACTGTTGAAATCTTCCATCAAATCTGCCGTTGAAATCTTCCATCAAATACACTGTTGAAATCTTCCATCGAATCCGCTGTTGAATCTTCCATTGAATACACTGTTGAAATCTTCCATCAAATTCACTGTTGAATCTTCCATTGAATCCGCCGTTGAATCTTCCATCGAATACACTGTTGAAATCTTCCATCAAATCCACTGTTGAATCTTCCATCGAATCCGCCGTTGAATCTTCCATCGAATACACTGTTGAAATCTTCCATCGAATCCACCGTTGAATCTTCCATCGAATACACTGTTGAATCTTCCATCGAATCCGCCGTTGAAATCTTCCATCGAATCCACCGTTGAATCTTCCATCGAATACACTGTTGAAATCTTCCATCGAATCCGCCGTTGAAATCTTCCATCGAATACACTGTTGAAATCTTCCATCGAATCCGCCGTTGAAATCTTCCATCGAATCCACCGTTGAATCTTCCATCGAATCCACCGTTGAAATCTTCCATCGAATACACTGTTGAAATCTTCCATCGAATCTGCCGTTGAAATCTTCCATCGAATCCACCGTTGAAATCTTCCATCGAATCCACCGTTGAATCTTCCATCGAATCCGCTGTTGAATCTTCCATCGAATCCACCGTTGAATCTTCCATCGAATACACTGTTGAAATCTTCCATCGAATCCACCGTTGAAATCTTCCATCGAATACACTGTTGAAATCTTCCATCGAATCCGCCGTTGAAATCTTCCATCGAATCCACCGTTGAAATCTTCCATCGAATCCACCGTTGAATCTTCCATCGAATACACTGTTGAATCTTCCATCGAATCCGCCGTTGAAATCTTCCATCGAATCCACCGTTGAATCTTCCATCGAATCCACCGTTGAAATCTTCCATCGAATACACTGTTGAAATCTTCCATCGAATCTGCCGTTGAAATCTTCCATCGAATACACTGTTGAAATCTTCCATCGAATCCGCCGTTGAAATCTTCCATCGAATCCACCGTTGAATCTTCCATCGAATCCGCCGTTGAATCTTCCATCGAATCCACCGTTGAATCTTCCATCGAATCCGCCGTTGAAATCTTCCATCGAATACACTGTTGAAATCTTCCATCGAATCCACCATTGAATCTTCCATCGAATCCACTGTTCCATCTCCAATTCAAAGCAGTCCAATACCTCAATTTGATGAATACTTCAATTGATTGACAAGGGAACAGTTGCTTCATATGAATATTGACAAGAGTATATTTCAAATTATAAGAGATGGATTAAAAAGTCCATTATAACAGACAAAATTGCAGAAATTCAAATCATCTTTATTCACTATTTATAGTGATGAGAACAGATCTCATACTACTTTCACTTCTAAATTTATATTATAATGAATTGTAATCTGAATCTTTCTAATTATTATAATACTATTCTATATAAGTAGATCTGAAATATTCTTTTATATCTTTTTCTCTTATGAAGTTCTCAACTGCATGATATAAAAAAGCTTCAAAATCTTCATCAAATCTCTTCAGAATTGAAGAGATATCTGATATAATCTTTGACTTTATATCACATGTTGAACAGAGTTCTCTAGCAGTTTCAAAACAGTGAAGATTTCATTGAATTCAATATACACAGGTGATAATCAATGCTTCGCGCGATCTCAGCAGACATATAATCATTCTTAAGGTGTACAATCTTGTTGATAATGAAATCACAGAGTTGAGGTGGCATATTGATGATAAAGGTAAGAAAGACGCGTATTTGGATGATATTTGATTGAAAAAGACATGTATTGGATGATATTGAATGATTCTAGAGAAATGCGGATATTTTGATTTTTTGGTGGTGTTTTGCTACTAATTTTCAGGGGGGGCTGGGAAAATTCTGTTTTCGCAAGTAATATGTCCGCCACAATATTTGCCCTTCCTTCCTAGACAATTTGCGGGAGAAGGAATGATACCTTCCTCGTACCCCGTATATTACGAGGAAATTCTTATTACTCACGGAGGTTTACCAGGGGCATATTGCCTGACGAAGGACGCGACAGATTTTCACCCCTTGCGCTTAAAATGAATTTCATCTTGGAGGTAATATGAATGGACACAACACCGTTATGTCCATGAGAACATTGTCATCGAGCTGCCAGGGGTCTGTCTACACAACATCCACAAGGGCCGCCTAACACCCGTGATCCTGAGCAAGAAACGCAGAAAGTCCAAAAAGTCTGTGCAGTCGTATTGGGCTTCGCGTTCATATGGTGAATTTATGGATCAAGCCACTTCTCCTGAAGAATAATAAGAAGATATACTTGCAGGAAGTCTAGTCATTGAGTGTGTTCCGCCTTGGCTCTAGGTGAGGACAAAATTAGAAGTGACATAGGATTTATGTATACTGAATTTAACGAGGTTATCAGCGGAGTTTACTGTTCTATCACCGGAGAAATTCTCTGTTCGAATAGAAGTTGATACAGCAAGTCATCCGCTTTCGCCCTTATCCAGTCGAAAACAAGCCAACATTGAACCAACTTCCCACAGATATGTCTCTTGCATTCAAAAAGCCCACCCAACGGTCCCATTAGTCAGAATCAAACGCCACGAACAATCCTTCCTATAAAAGTAAAAATTTGGGGAGTGCGTCCATTGTCATCCAAAAAGGTTATCAGGAAGACAAGTAAAAAAATCGAAAAAAATGAAAAAAAAATAAAAGAGTAAATAAAAAGTGAACAGTTTTTTAAAAAGACTCGTCCCTGGGAAGGCTCGAACTTCCAACCTCTCGATTAACAGTCGAACGCGCTAACCAATTGCGCCACAGAGACTTGTTACTGGTTGATTTCGTAACCCCCGCCATATTTATTACTATTGACTATGCTCTCGCAAATTGATGGTTAAACCCCACCGAGAGAGTCCGTCGCGATTACAACTTCAATTCGAAAAGAACAGAGACCAGGTTCAGCCAACATCCTCCACGGCGGGGACCCGATATATCAGCTGGACCTTACCACAGACATTCTGGAGCCAAACCAACGCTGGTGTCCAATTCGACACAGTTATGCGGCCGAGGAACAGCCCAAGGATAGGATGCTAACCTAGCTATCCTAGATCCAAGCTCCTTCGCGATCTTGCCGCGACCCCACAGCAAAGTGCTACAAAGACGTCTTCCCAACCCAAATCAATGAGCCAATAAACGACTCCACTTGCTTTGGGTGGGGAATAATATCTCTCTATGATATTGTGGCTGGCTGGTTCATTTGGTGAGCTACATAGCCAGATACTTGTACAACCTGCTGAAACATCATCCCCAAATACTCTTTGAGGCACTCTGGTTTATTAAACAATAAAATTCATGACTTGAGACCACCTGGCTCCTCGTCGGCACCTCAGCGAATTTCGGTCTAAGTCATGTTTGACTTGGGCTGCTTCTCTGCCTCTATGGGATCGTGGATTGTTCGGAGAATACAGAGTAAAGATTCTTTGCTTGGCAGAGCGGGGAGTGATGAGGGGTACTTGGATGTCATCTTAATCCATGTGGCGAATTTGGTTTTGAGGAATGCGGAAACGCCCCAAAACAAAGGATCTAATGACAATGGGGGAGCTGAGGGCTGCTGGAGCTCGATGGCCTCAGGAATGGAGTGCGGCGGTGCAGTTTGCTTCGCTCTGCCACCTGTTTTTCCAGATTGCAGATTCTTTGTTAGCTTGATCGATAGCACCCTTTGGCCTCCTGATTCAGTCCACGGGTAGATAGCTTCTTAAAGGGGCGATCCTAGCGGTTAGCTAGTTTGATATTGGTGCAGACCTCACTCACCCCAGCATCGTTCCCGAGCTATTTTCCACCCCGCCATCAATTTTTAACCAGCTGGTTCACCACACAACTATATAAGCATTACTCCACCCCCATATTTTCTAGACTCTCAGTTATTCTCATTCTAGTTTCTACCTAAACCCCGCAAACCAAACAAGCAAACAAGCAGATAGATTGAACAAACAATGGACTTCATCAACAAAATCGCTCGCTCCCAGGACCAGCAGAAAGAGAAATCATCCGCAACAGACCACAAGAAACAAGGGGCCGGAGGATTCCTCTCCGGATTTGGTGACAAGCTCAACAGCGCTGCTGGCGGCGGCAGGGAGAGCGAGAAGAATGAAGATATGCTCGATAAGAGTACGTTAACTATATATCACACCACTTCTTTTCCTAAAGTATTTCATTATTTTCTCCATCCACTATCTGTTCTTCTTTTTTCTCCTCTGCAATATCACGCACCGCGCACCGCGCACCGCAAGCGCCTCTTTCTAACTCTCCTCCACTCGAATCGCTTCAATACATAACTAACATGTGGACATGATTGTATCAGGCATCGACTTCGTCCAGGAACGCTTCCTGGGCCAGGGCCCGCAGGACAACGAGAGCGCGTTAGAGCAGGCTAAGGATGAGAAGATTTCAGACTTCATCCGTGACCAGTATAAGAACAGGACTGGTACGGAATGAAGAAGCTCTTATATATGTGTACAATGTACATGTACATATTACGTGTGTATATGTCAACCACTGACATAGATATTTGTTGCTCACAGGAAAGGATTTCCCCATCAAAGATAAGAAGACGCGATTCGGCTGAAAAGTGATGGGATTTCCTCCCCTGCATCTAGGCGGTTAGGTGGTGTGGGAGGCAGGAATACGCATACATCCTGGGGGGTTGTGGGGTGAATAAGATCTTTTTTTTTTTTTTTTTTTTTTTCAATGTGAAATGATGATGGGTATGAATGAGATATATTCTATGCATGCATGATGTCTGATATATATGTATCTATATATGTATCTGGGTGAACAGAACATGAAAATAGAAGAAAGATATCTATATAACGAACATCTTCACCTCTCCCATGACTATGTATTGATGAGTGAGCTTGGTTTTTGTCAGGGATCCTTGGATGGATATTTATTCCCGGATAGTAATACATAGCTATATATCAAGACGGACTAGGGCCGTAGGTGCTGCGCAAATTATGCTGAAACTACAGACCATTTGCGGGCTGCACAGAATCCACCTATCCTAGGAATTAGAGTGAGCCAGGTATCAAGAGGATTTCCATAATTATTCAGTCTCTAGTGATGAGGTTAAAATAGCACACTGTCACTAGGAGCATAAAACAAGTTCAGTTGTGTGACAGGAAAATCCAGGCAAGCAAACAACAGATCCATGAAGATATATATAACGTAGTAAGGAATTGAAGCATTGTCACTATGGTGCTGCTAATGAATAGCAATGAATAGAATTAAATAGATCTACGGAGTAGACTGAGCTCCATTGGCTTGTTGAATGACCCCTAGAAATATGGTGAAAGAATGAACAGATCGAGGTTGGCCCAGACCACGCAGAGCCTCAACTTCGACGTCCAACGTCCAACGTTCCTTGACAGAACATCAAATCTGTACTCCATCGTCACCATTGTCTGTGTACAACTACTCAGCGTATATGTTTATTTACCTCTCTCATTGAGTAATTACTTCCATCCACGCGACTCTCTTTGCCTAAGTATTTGCTAGTGCCAGCTGCTCCACTCGCTGACCGCTGCCAAGCCCAGTTCGACGTTTAAAGTCCAGCTGCCATTCGGCTAGTCTCCAGACCACCAACACCTGCAGCCAGGAATTTCTCTCCTTTCTTAGCACACTCCGTCCCTGGTACCCACGGTTGAAGGAGAGGAGTGTTTTATAGCACTCGGGTCTACACATTCACGCCCAATGGATTGAAACTAAGGGCAGCCTCTCCCTACGTTTGAAACCCACCTTCTACGGTTGCATCAAATGGGCGAAGGCTCCCTAGACTCCAAGGGTGCACGGAGAACCTCTTTGATATCGGTCCACAAGAGCCTATCCCTGCCCCCTCCTGCTCCCTACGATCCCGATCCCCTCAGCACTCACGAAGTCGAACCCTTCACCACCTACAGGAAGAATAAAAGTAGACACGAAGAGGGGGCCCATTACAGCGAGGGAGAGCACAGGCACCTACAAGAGGAGGATCAGGAGAAGGAGGAACGGGATCCTCTCCTGACGGGAATTGGCGCCCGATCCGATCGTTCCCGCCATTCCTCTTTTGCTGAAAGCGAGGTGCTTGAAATGGATTTCCTCGCCTCGGATGACGATCTCAACGATGACGAGGAAACCGGATTGACCGCTAAGGAGCGCAGACAGAGATGGAAGCAACGCAAACGACACCGTCGGGAACTAGATGCTAGAATTGTCGAGGTCAAGATCTCTGAGGATGGCCGCCGGCTGGCGGATAGGGCAGTGATCAAAAGACTAGGCATAAATGCGATATTGATTGGATCGTGGTATATATTTTCGTTGTCGATATCAATTGTATGGACGAATCCCGTTTGTTGATATCTTCCTATCTTCCTATTTTGCGATATTATTTTTCTTTCCCCTTGAGCTGACTATATCTCAACTTTTTGCAGTATAATAAATGGATGTTTTCATCCGATCACCTTAATTTTCAATTCCCCCTCTTCACAACCGGCCTACATATGGCTGTGCAATTTACCCTATCCTCTATTGTGCTCTACCTTGTCCCCTCGTTACGACCACATAACGCATCCTCATCCGCCCATTCCGCCATTACTGGCCAGCCGCCGAAGCCCTTGGTGTCGAAACAATTCTACTTCTCCAGACTTGTCCCCTGCGGAGCCGCTACATCTTTAGATGTGGGACTGGGCAACATGTCTCTCCGATTCATCACCCTCACATTCCTAACTATGTGCAAGTCATCCTCCCTCGCATTTGTCCTTCTCTTCGCATTTCTCTTCCGTCTAGAGACCCCCTCTCTAAAGCTCATTCTCATCATCGGCACCATGACCATCGGGGTTGTAATGATGGTGGCAGGAGAAGCAGCATTCAATGCCCTCGGCTTCAGTCTCATCATCGCATCTGCATTCTTCTCAGGCTTTAGATGGGGTCTAACCCAAATCCTCCTTCTCCGACATCCTGCAACCGCAAACCCTTTCACCATGCTCTTCTTCCTCACCCCGATAATGTTCGTTTGCCTCATAACCCTTGCACTCGCCATTGAAGGAGCTGGCGAAATCATCGAGGGCATCGGCATCCTGACAGCAAATGGCATCCTGCGCGGTATCGGCATCCTCCTTTTCCCCGGCTGCCTGGCTTTCTGCATGATCGCCTCAGAATTCGCGCTCCTCAAACGCTCCTCAGTTGTTACTCTGAGCATCTGCGGCATTTTCAAAGAAGTCATCACCATCAGCGCCGCCGGCCTCGTCTTCCACGACCCATTGACCCCAATCAACATCTCCGGGCTCATCATCACCATAGGCGCCATTGCCTCGTACAACTACATGAAAGTCACAAAAATGCGCCGTGACGCCCGGCTCAATGTCGCCGAGAGCGCTAACCCTATTGACGCCGACTCGGACGAGGAGGAATCACTAAGACCACCCGCAAGCAGCAACCCACTCACTAATAATGACGCTAATAGCATTAATAAAAATTATACCAACCCGAGCCTAACTACTCGCCTTGGCCTCTCTCTCAACACATCCCCAACCAACAAGGACAGCATATATACCCCCACAAACACCAACGTTCCCACAGACGAGAATACCGTCCTAACCCAGAGCGGCAGCGGCGAAGACCGAGGGCGCAACTCCATCCGCGCCAGGGTCAGTGGAACGACAGGCGCATCTTCTTCCCTTGTGCCCGGCGCAGCAGGACTCTCCGGCGCAGTTGCCGGGGACCCATCCCTCCGCCCTCCGCTCCGAACCAGCGGTAGTGCCTTTGACGAAAATGGTCCCAATGCTAATGACATGCCACTGTCTTCGTCTTCGTCGTCGTTGGCATCATCAACGCGCGCACCGATGCCGGGAGTACAACAACGGAGTTTGAGTTGGAAGGGAGGCAGATCGATTTCTCCGAGGCCGCCAGCACCGTCCCCGTCGAAGATGCCGTCACCGGAGAAGATGAGTCGAGATTGAACGTTTCCCCTCCCCCTTTTTGGTTCCCTTTTATTTTATTTTGCCTGTTCCCCTTTTACCGTGCTTTCCATACTTTTGCTTCCCCATTTTTCTTTTTTCTTTTCTTTTTCTTTCTTTTCTTTCTTTTCTTTTTCTTTCTTTTCTTTCTTTTCTTTTCTTTTTCCTTTTTCTTTCTTTCCTTTTTTTCTTTTCTTTTTCTATTTTTCTTTTTTTTGGATAGCGTTGGGTTGATTTCAGGGCTGTAAAATTTGCCCTTGTTTTGTATTCGTGAAAGTTAGGCCCTGAGTTGGTTTCTGGTACTTAATATTTTTTTGGTCTTCCTTTCCTTTGATTCGGGTTGTTTAAGTTAGTTTGCTTTGCTTAGAGTTGGACATTAAAGGGATACAGAAGTGCGATTCCATTGAAATTTGTCCACCTTTTTTTTTCGGGGAATGGTTTTTATTAGAGCACAGGGATTTCGAAATTCGGGGTTGGTGGAAGTTTTGTTTCTTCCTTAACTCCCCTTCCCCCATAGTTACCATCATCATCCTCACCTAACGTTTGTAGAAAGGAAGTAAACGGGATAGACAGGGGAGGTAGATAGATGGAGGTGGTGTGACAAGCAGGTGGTTCTATTTTGTTATAGCCTGTTTTGCTTTACCTATATATTAATTAAGTATATGTATGGATTATATATATTACTTCCTTGCTTCTCTTTTCATCTCTAGCCCCCCTCTCGGAACGTCATATATATATCCCACTTCCTTCTATCAACTAGCCTCACGCTATCTCACCAGTCTATATAGCTATACAATCTCACAGCGTTTTTTTTTTTCGGCTTTTGCCTTTTAATCTGCGCGATTTACAAGTTGGATCTAACCTCCGGATTCCATTATTCCCTCCCCAATCATCCATCCACCGCTTCCTGATTTCTATAGAGTAATATATATCCATCCCTAATCACCGTATGCTACCATCACGCGCAAGGTTTAACCAGGTGGTCAATTCATTCATAACATACGCTGCGAAAACTGCCCGAGCCGTCAGCCATCATCCCCCTACCTCTCGGTAGCAGGAAAAACAAGTGTTATAAGCTGATATATGTGTTACCTACTACCCCCGAAAGAAAGCCTACCTACAAAAAAAAAAAAAAAAAAAAAAAAAAACGGATAACAGATAAAAAAAGACAAAGGTTCACTTGGAAATAATAATAATCAATCACCCTCTTTTCTTTCTTTCCACTCGAACCCATCCATCCATCCATCCCTATTCCTTACACAAAGGCACAGAGCCACCTAGGTCCTAGGTATGTATATCCGCCCAACCCAACCTTGGAGGGAAATTTCCCCAGGCCGCCCGTCCTGGCCTCATTGAATCCATTCTTTTTCACCCCCTGCTTCTCCTCACCACACCCCCCCCCTCCTTGCCATCGCTACCCCGGTTGTATCTCGCCGGCCGGTTGGATATATTATATATATATACACCTTACATGCGTAATGTATAGAGAGGTATATACCTCCAAAAAAACTCCCATTGCACTCGCACCCATCAATCCAACCAATCATCCTCACAAGGAAGGGGAACGAAGGGGGGGGGGCGGATTCTAAAACAAGTAGATAGGATAAATAACAGCTCCCATCCCATCCCATCCCATCCCATCTTATTATTCCCTTCTCTTTCCCCCACCACCCAACCGCTGAACAAGGCCATACATAGATACCTTCTTTAAAAACGAAAAAAAAAGATATAGCCCTGTTTCAACTACTACCTACCTCCATAATAGAAGTCCAAACCGTCCACTGTGTGAGTGAGTGTGTATATAGTGTGTTTTTATTACTCCATATCACGCCAACGCCAACGCCCTCATGCTCATGCCCCATGTTCCATGCTCCGTGCTCCATGTCCCATGCTTCCATCCTCATGCCCATACCATCTCATCACGTCTCCCATTTCCAGCATACCACCGGCAAATGTCCACCACATAAAAAGAGAAAAAGACGAAAGAACACAAATATGTAACTGTATATAACGGGATTGAAAAGACTGGAGAGAATCAGGTAGATACGATATGGGCATTTAATTTTTTTGGGGTTTAAAAAACGACCATTTCTTTCTTTCTCCGCTCCTTTCCCTTCTTCTCTGCATTCCCCTCCTCTTTCGCTACCGAAATTTATTATGTTTCCCCGCTTAACCGCCTTTCCTCTGGTTAGTAGTAGTAGTCGTTCCGGGTGTCGATGACCGGGCTCCATTATTGGTGGCGTTGTTATTGGTGATGGGAAGCGCTACGGCGGCTGCTTTTGCATTTCGATCGCGGTCCCTGGATGTGGAGGTGGAGGAGTTATTCGTGTTCGCATTTGCATTTGTATGATGGTTATTAGCGGTATTACTATTGCGAGACTGATGGGAGAAGTGGCTGGAATTGGCAATTGCGGCGCTGGCGCTCCGGAGTTCGATCTTCTTGCGTTCCATCTCAAGCTGGAATGGGGAAAACAACAACATAAATATTAGTTTCAATGACTCGAACCCACCATTGTTGTTTTTTGGATCAAATGAAAACGAACGAGAAGAAATAGTGAAAAAAACTGGGTAAATCTGTCACTTACCACTTTCCTAACTCTCGTCAGCGCCGCGCTCACCCCGCCGTTATCAGTCGTTAGAGAGCGGCAGTTATCAATGTGATACGGCTTAGAAATGATCACAGTATCAGCCACGACAATGCTCGTGCCATCCCAGCGCGCAGGCATTGTCCTGCTAAACGCATCGAAGAGATCCTGGGCTTCCTTGCTAACCCCCTTCCCGCGCCGTTGTTCGCGCTCATGGAGTTTGGCAATAGCAGCCGCTTCCCGATTCTTTAGGGCGCGGATATCGAGAGGGTAGATGGAAGGGTACGCGTTGGTGAAGGATGGGTTTTGCTCGGTGGGACTTGATGATGTAGAGTGTGGGGGTAAGGAGAGTAGTTGAAAGTTGTGGATACGGGATATGGGGATTATGTGATAGTCGCTTGGATGGGAGAGGGCAGGAGTGCCGGAGGTCATTGGTGTTGGTGGAGGGGGAGATGTATTGATTGCGATAAGATTGGTGATGGGACATGCGGTGAAGAGAGTCCCCTCGTGCGTTGTGGAGGTTGGAGATGTAGTAGTGACGCGGATACTATTGACGAAACCAATTACCAATTTCATGTTAGCATAACAAGGGGAAAATATTGAGATGTAGAATCAAGCTTGCTCCCAATCAACCAGCAGTAAGTAAGGTATGATAGCCGTCCACTTTTTCACTGGCAGACATCTATTCCAGGCAAGATCGATAAGAGTGCCACTACATATATCAAACACTTACCGGGCACCAATGGCTCCACACAAAGCCATCTCCATCGCGACAGTACCCGACGGCCCAAGGCCCGACGCAACAGGGCCTTTCCCTCCAGTGCTCTGCCGCTTGTTCTCCGCTGCCATGGTGGAAGCGCGTTCGCTAAAACGCAGTCCTCAAAAACCAAGGTTGGAGCACGACGTGTAACAACAAGCGGGAAGCGGGAAACAGTGTGTCGGGTAAATTTACTGCTTCACGAAGACCATGGAGAGACACGTTGGCGGTTTAAAGTGTCCCTTCTTTCCTTTTGCTATAAGAGAGTTGTTGTATACACTTCCCGGCGATTACGCCAATCAATGCAGCTTTTCAATGGGACGATGGGGGTGGTGTAGCGTTATTTTTGAACGTAATTATGGCGGTGCTGAAACGGGCAAAATGAGGCGGGCGGCGGCTGGCGGCAAGGAAATAGCAACCCAAGCTTGTAAAACGATACCGGGAAAGGAGCGACAGAAGGGAAATAACAAGATGAAGAGGGCAAGAAATTAGGTGAAGGGAAATAAAAAATAGAAGAAAACAAAAAAGGGGCAGAAATTAATATAGATAAATTAGGTTGCTAAATTAAGACAAGACAACAACCAGAGCACTCAAATGAAGCAACCGCTCCTCCTCCACCAGCCAGAGAAAACAAAGCACCAGGACTGGTTGAGAGAGCTTCCTGCGCACGACGAGCGGAGAGGAGTAAAAGGACACGAGGGAATTAATTGGGGGGTGATTGAGGTGCTGGAGAGTTGGAGATGGGTTTGGAGATGTTTTCGTTGAACTTCAGAAGGTTTTGCTGCGGGAGGCTAGAGTCAGATGGGCTTGGCGGATTAGTCATCGGCGAGGATGGCCAGAGGGTTTATTTACAAGAATCATTATATACGCTGTATGTAGATACAGCGTGAGCCGGATAAGAGGTAGCTAGCCACATATTGCTTCTGTCTAAAATTCAACTTAAGGAAGAATATTCAATTTTTGGGCTTATATAGGTAGATTAGTTTATAATCCATCCTTAAATGCTCCAGCCGAATGTCGATACAACCTCCCGCTTTTACCTTCTACCGTGTCCGTGCTTGGCTCTCTTCTTTCTCTCTGTTTTCCTCGTTCATCTTGTTTATTTTTATTTTTGTTTTCATTTATTTGTTATTTGTTGTCCACCTTCCCTTGCTTTTTTTTTCTTTCTTTTTTTTGAAAATTTCCACATCCCCTTAAACCCAGTTGATCACATTCTGAGTTCGGTGGTATCCTTCCACGGTCCTCCGTCTTTTCGTGCAAGATCGAAAATGATGATTGGTGACAATGAACAGATGAAATAATGCCCCCTAAGCTGTTGTCCTAGCTGTTTACTTCGATATTTAGGAACGGGGCAAATCTAACCCCCATTCTTCCTCTTCCCCCTTACACAGGCCACGCCTCGCTTCATTTTCACCACATAGCCATGACTCTATGCTTGGTATGTAGAAGCAGAGACATTACCACCGCGCCCAGTCCAATTGACATGATGATACTGGCCCTCGGGATACTTCTCATTTGCACACTCGGGCTTGATAAGGAATGTATGCGCGCCAAAGTAATCCCGCTGAGCCTGGAGCAGATTGGCCGGTAGATCGCGGGTGCGGTAGCCGTCGTAGAAGCTGAGTGCGGTGCTGAACGCTGGTGTTGGGATTCCCCATAGCGCACCCTTGCTGACAACGTCGCGCCAGCCTGCTTGGGCCTTGTTGATGGCATTGTGGAAGAAGTCGTCGAAGAGGAGGTTCTCCAAGTCTGGGTTGTTGCGGTAGGCGTTGGTGATGTCCTTGAGGAAGACGGAGCGGATGATGCAGCCGCCTCGCCACATTAGGGCGATGGAAGGCTTGTTTAGTTTCCAGCCATATTCTTTTGCGGCCTGGTGGTTGAAGGTTGGGTTAGTTCATATTTTGGTGGAGATGGCGTATAATATGCCCTTGGAAGACGAATGGGAAAGGACAAAGGATGAATAACTCACGTCCTGGATCAGCATGAATCCTTGGGCGTAGGAAATGATCTTGGATGCATAGAGGGCCTGTTCCAGGTTGTCGATGAACTCCTCTCTGTTGCCAGTGAAGTTCGGGTTGGGTCCCTGGAGAATCTTGCTAGCCCGGATACGCTCTGATTTCAACGAGCTGAGGCAGCGGGCGAAAACAGCCTCGCCGATCAAAGTGACTGGCATGCCGAGATCGAGGGCATTGATAGCGGTCCACTTGCCAGTACCCTTCTGCCCAGCAGAGTCGAGGATCTTTTCGACGAGCGGCACACCGTCGTCATCATTGTAGCGCAGGACGTCGCGGGTAATTTCGATCAGGAAGGAATCCAAGACGCCCTTGTTCCATTTTTCGAAGACGTCGCCCATCTCCTTTCCGGTCATGCCTAGACCGCGTTTCATGATATCATACGCCTAGAATAACACAACACTCCCAGCCCTTTTTAGCCACAGACCCTTCGGAATGGTATGAAAGAATGAGGAATTGATGGGCAGAGCAATTGTTGTCCCGGCTTGCTCACCTCTGTGATCAGCTGCATATCACCATATTCGATGCCATTGTGGACCATCTTCACATAGTGGCCAGCGCCCTCATCACCGACCCAGTCACAGCAGGGCTCGCCATCACTCTTGGCAGCAATGCTCTGGAAGATGTCCTTGATATATGGCCACGCCTCCTCGTTTCCACCGGGCATCAAGCTGGGCCCATATCGGGCACCTTCCTCACCGCCGGAGACACCAGATCCCACAAAGCGGATGTTCTTGCTGGCTAGGTATTTTGTGCGACGGTTGGAGTCCGGGAAGTGGGAGTTTCCGCCATCGATGATGATGTCGCCGTCTTCAAGGTGGGGCAGGAGGGATTCGATGAAATCGTCGACTGGCTTGCCGGCCATGACTAGTAGCATGATTCTGCGTGGTCTTTTGAGCTTTGCGCAGAACTCCTCGATAGAGTGGGCACCGACAATAGATTTGCCTGGAAATATAGTTGTTAGTCATGTTTCAGTCTTTTTTGACGGCTCCGTGGGCTGTTAAATTCGCAAAGAAAATGCAACAAGAAAATTAAAAAGCAGACAAGAAGTTGTTTTCCAATGCTGGACGATTTACCTTTAGCTTCATTTTCCAGGAAACGGTCGACTTTAGACACAGTGCGGTTGAATGCTACGACGGTAAAACCATGATCTGCCACATTTAGGATGAGGTTCTGGCCCATAACGGCCAGACCAATGAGGCCAAAATCACCACTGGGAGCAGATGACGCGGATGAACCGGCATCGATGCCGGCCAGACGAGCGCTGCAAGTCAGCAATCAAATTTTGTCCAGGTTAATGCTGATGGATTTTGGGAGCGCAAGTTTGGGGAGAAGGTTGTTGATAGGTTTTCCCACCCAAATTGATGGGAGCCATAGAACAAGGCATTGAACATTGGGAGTCAAACTCGTTATTGGTAGAGCGAAGCGCACTTACACTGCCTTATCTGCCATGGTGAAGGAGTAATGTAGAAGATTGATTCGTTAAAGAGGATTGATAGGCGGCTTGTATGTATTCTGGAGCGGCAGGTAGATCTCTGGTTAGCTTGTAAAGTAATCCCTCGAGATGCGGAGGAGGGAAGACATACTACTACTGACTGACTGGAGGGGTTTGGAAGTGATAGGAGAAAGTTGGGAGAAGCGATGGAGACAGGAAGTGTAGAAGTAGTGATAAAGGTGTGGTGAGAAGAGAACTGGAGGAGAAAAGAAGTGGGATGGGATGGTTGAGGGAGGGAGGAGGGAGGGACGCCCGAAACAGAGAACAGAGAGAGAGATTGAACTAATTAATAACTAAATAAATATGACGACGAGGTTGAAAAATAATTTGTGCCTTTGCCGAGTTACGAGTTACGGCTTCTTGACCTTACTGCGTAGGTCTGCTACAATAATTAATACCTTGGCCCCAACTATATCAATATCAGTCAGTGTATTGTGAGATTAATAATTAATTAATTAATAGCCTTCTATACACGCATACTCCGTATCCGCGCTTCATTATCTGGATGTTGTTGAGGCGGGGTATTTCCAACCGCTGAGAATGAGGGGTCCTTTTACCCAACAACGCCTTTTTTGCGATGACTTGACGGCTGTTGCTGCTTGCTTGCTGCAATTATTATTTGAAGCCACCAGGCTAAAACCCTTATAATTAGTAAATCCTGCATCATTTTACCCCTAGAACATGAAGGGAATACTCGTTTCCGGATGGACCCAGCCGACTGAAATAAGTTAATAAGTTAGTTAATAACTGTGACCATTTTGTATACGCAGTTTGCCCTTGGCCACCCGGAGCACTGTTCACCGGGTATTATTATTATTATTATTAATCTGGGAATGCATTTCGATCCCCGTTTCAAAATGAGAGTCTTTTGAGTCCATTTCCAGCCCATGCCGTAATTGGATTCCGGTATAAATCTGTGGATAAAGTGGTCAACAGCGGAGGTTGAAAACCGGACAATGCCCAATAATGCGCCCAGATATTTGCCCCCCAACCCAACCATACTCTCATGTTTATCAACCTTCATCTATGCCCACATAGCCCTTACTGTTGTTCTCTTCCTTTCAGTTATTTAATATTAATTCTCCTGAGTCTTTTCTTCTGCTCTCTGGCCTTGGTGTTGGGGCGGCGGCCGCCTCAGTGGCGTTAAATACGTTAACTTACCCTCTAGCAATCGCTCCACCCACACGTGATCTCAGATGTAATAATGGATAACTAACTATAATAACGCGGCTCGAATATGTAAACCATCACACACTTGTGGCAACACCCCGAGGTGGCGGCCGCTACAAACTCTAGACCAAAAACAGCTCTTGAGTCTTGAACCATTAACTATCACAGCAAATCAAGCATATCAACAGGCAGTCTCTTGTCAGTAACAGCAAGGTTTCGCTTTCCGCCAGAAGGAGTGAAAGAAGGATTGTGTGCATCGGGGACCTATATCAGCAAATTAGAGTAGAATCAAGACTCATTACGCGGTCGCGCTCTAAGGCTGCCTTGCCTGTCAGTCACGTTTCATCCGGCGCATTTCATCCTTTGGTGGACGGACGACTCATCCCAACCCATCAGTCGATACAGTGACAGTTGAAGCACCACTTGCGCTGCTCTAGATCTTGAACCACATACGAGCCTTCTAGTTCGTTCCCTGGACGTGCGCAAGGTACGTGTGTCCTTTGTTACTGCACATCTGTCGCCAAAAAAGGCTCTCTCCTGTGCAATAAACATACAAAATATATATATAATCCCTTTTCGACGAACTTCCGTTCATCATGTCCCTTCCGCCACCTCCAGGTCTCCAACAACAATCGTCTCAACCTCCGTCCTCGAAACCACAACCGTACACGTCTCTACCCGCACGACCACCTCCCTCTGCATCTTTCCAGCCAGCAGGAGCCCCCGGGGCTTCCAATACTATTCCCCCTACTCCTTCGACTAGACCCAGTACCGGTTACAGCTCCTTCACAACCTTCCAGCCCCGTACTGTAACTACAAGCCAGTCAGCTTCTCCAGCTGGCTACCAACACCATCACCAATCCCATGCCCCGCACTACTCCCGGCCGCCCTACGGGCAGCCCAACGTAGCATATTACGGACAACACCACCAATACCAACAACAGCAACATCAACAGACAGTGGGCGCTTACGGCCAGTCGGGTGCCCCTCACATCCAAAACCCCTTCCCGTATCCCAACCAAGCATCAACCAATGCATACGGCGGCGCCGGAAGAGGCTATGCCCGCCACACGGCGGACTCAGGCCTCGACCCGGACACCGAAGCGCAAATTGCCCAATGGCAGAGCGCGTATATGGGTAGGGAGAGCATTGAAGCTGCCCAAGCCGTAGCAAATACTGGAGGCACTAAAGGCGCATTTGCCGCTACAGGCGCCAACACAGGACCTCTAGGAACCGTCCAGCGCATGCACGACTCAGCCATATCGACACCAATCTCTAGCGGTCCGCACACGACTTCGTCCACGCCTATCCCGCTAGGCGTAGGCGCAGGCGCAGGTACAGCCGCCATCGGCGCACCACCGGCGGCAGGCACAGGCGGAACCGCAACTCCAGACGAACCAGCCAAGACCGTCCTCCGCTCGGGTGGCGGGCAGAGCTGGACGGACTCCACGCTCCTCGAATGGGATCCGGCCCACTTCCGTCTCTTCGCAGGCAACCTTGCCGGCGAAGTCACAGACGATTCGCTCTTGAAGGCGTTTTCGAAGTACCCATCCGTGCAGAAGGCGCGGGTGATTCGCGACAAGCGCACGGAGAAGAGTAAAGGGTATGGGTTTGTGAGTTTTAGTGATGGGGAGGATTATTTTCGCGCGGCGAGGGAGATGCAGGGGAAGTATATTGGGTCACATCCGGTCTTGTTGAGGAGGGCTATGACGGAGATTAGACCTGTGGCGGCGTCGAAGGTTGCGGGGACAGGGGGGAAGGGCGGTGGGAAGAAACGTGGAGGGGGTGGTGGTGGTGGTGCTGGAAAGGGTGCTGGAAAGGGTGCTGGTGGCGGCGGGGGTGGTGGTGGCTCGAAAGTTATCGATGGTGGTATACAGAAGAAGCAAGGGAAGACGAAAGGGGGTTTGAGGGTTCTTGGGTAATAGGCTTGTGCCCCAGTTTCTTTCTTTGGTTCGGTTGCTTTCTTTGTCATGGATATCTGGCGAATCTGAATCTGTGGTGCTTTGTGTGTTCCTTTAAGTTTCCTGCCCTCCCTTTTATTATTGCTTTTTTCCTCCCACTGGCCTCGCAGGTGTTGCTGTAAATTTTTTGGATTTCAAATGGTCGTTAAAAGCGAACGGAGTTTTTTGTTCTGCTGAAATTCTTTCTAATAATTCCTCTTCTTTCTCTGAGAAGAACGCCTTGTCTCAATATATCTGCCATCCGTCATATAACCTATCACATACACATTATTACCTGTTCCCGTCTTTTGCCTGCAGACGCTATATCAATGCTACTACTTGTATAGAGCAAAAACCGCCAGTCTGGATCTAAAGAAGTTTCCAGGAAGAGGCTAGAAAATTTAATGGTTTTGAGGCCTCCCCTTGGCACCCGACCCTTATGCAGTTTGGAGATGCATTCATTTAGTCGCTCAACATTCATGGATAGGTGGCAGCTTCCTAGAAAATGATAGGTTGGGACCACACTGCTCCATACATACCACACGCAAGCCAAAGGCAGACGGTCTATCGGTATCTGGTGAACAAAACCCGCAACGGGAATTTTAGCAGAATATCTCTGGGACCCAAGCTCGCACCAGGGCTACTGAGAAGTAACTTAACTACCAGAATATATAAACTTACAGCGTGTGGGCAACCAGGCGGATGCTGAAACTTAGCTACGCCGTCACTAGGCTAACTGGTAAGTTATTAAGGGGCCGAACCATTCCATACATCAATATGCTGTACAGTAGTAATTGTCTAACGGATGGCTGACCGTATATCTCCATGAAAGGAAATGGGCTAAATGTCGGCAAGCATGTCTTTGTTAAATAAGAATAAATTGACGATAAAGGAAATTGTTTAAAGATTCAAAAAGAAAGAGAGAGAAAAAGAGAGAAAAAGAAAGAAAGAAAGAAAAAAAGAAAAGGAAAGAAAAGAAAAAAGTTGTGTCTAACCGTGCTCGCTTTGAGTCGGCTCGAACTTTATCCTTTGCATCCGCCTTGACGAGAAGAGGAAAGGGAGTAGCTGTTATCATTGGGTGGGGGGACTGGCAGGACCAATGTATATGTGTATACCCAACTTCTTTTCTGGAGGTACCTGTTCAGCCATGAGAGGCGGAGTGGATACTGGGTTTTCACGCTTCCACAGTCATTCATGCACCCAGATTCCCACTCCTTCTCTGCACCTTGTCCCTGCCTCCGTTGTTGCTGCCAAGCCCTCATATTTTTCCAGCCGGTATAATCGAAGATACCTGCGCAATTTTTCCAGTTTTGCTCTTTATACTTGCAGCATTGTCTATCACTCTTCAATTTGAAACTAGGACAGAAATAGCACTCATTGTAGAGACAGCAATTAGTCATCTCAAGGAAGAACTTTCTGTAACACCTGGGGCATTTCCACAGCTAGGGTTTTGAGACTGGCAGAGTTGCTGGTTGCTGATCTCTATCAGCATCCCCTGGGGTTTCACAGGTACTGGCAGGTGTTAAAATGCGGCTCTGTTGTGGAGACGAACAAGCACTCACGATCGGTGATTCAGTGCTTCTGTTTGAGGCAGGGCTGTGTGGCAAGTCGATTGAACGGTATTCTCGACGTCGGGAGAGTCGTGGGAGCTTGAGTCCATGATTATCAAACTGAAACGGTAGCAATGTAGTTTTAGGGAGGAAATGTTTTCTCACTTGTGAAGATTTGGTGTAATAGCCTAGTACTTAGGAAGATGACTTTCAATAAAGACCTTCATAGGTAAGGGAGCTTCTGGAAATACATATCAATTGCTATGAAGGGCTGGGTATGGCCGAAAGGAGGTGTCCGGCAAAAGTCTTCCACATCGGGCGGAAGAAACCGATGTTTTGATCTTTGCAAATAGGGACCGAGATGATCAATCGGTGAGTTCTAAACCTTGTGAATTTCTTCCATCCAACACAGGAATAAAAGCAAAAAACCAGTAAGAAAGTATTCATCTTGTGCGAAATCTGAAATATGAAATCAGTAAACCATTTGTAGAATCCAAAAACTAGGAACTAGGGCTTGATACTGGGGTGCAACAAAGATCATTGTTCTCAGGCCTCAGACAGAAACATCAAAATATCAACATGAAACAAGACAGCAAAAGCTCAAGTGAGAATAGAATCTTCAGTTCTCAGGATGAACAGAGATTGTTACATTGTGCTGTAGAAAAACTGGAATACATAGTACCCCATCGTGTTTATCAAGAAGGTAAAACTCATCTTGATAAACTTGAGTTCTGGATTGAATATCAGAATATAGAAATAGCTCACAATGCTGCAATCATCTGATATGACTCTCTGCAACACCACAGCACCCTGTCTCTTTGACATAAGAGGCAGAGATATTATTGTATTGAGCCTTAGAGAATGAAGCATTCATAGCTGTGGAAGTGTCTTGAAGAATTTGAGCAACCAGAGCAAGTTAGAAAACTTCAAAAATTGAAAGATATATAAATGTTTTGCTATTGGAGAAGAATGAGACTTGATTTAGACTGCGAGATTTTTGATAGAGCTTATCGCACGTGACCCTCCTACAAGCCCTGGCTAAGCAATGCTGTGATATAAAGTTGTTTTGATGACTCGAGGCCCTTATTTCTCTGCGCCCCAAGACGCAGTTACAACACCCTTGGTCGCGCTTTATTAGCATTTGAATTTTGTGACAGATTTTGAGTGGCTTCTTTCGGATCTGATCTGGCATTTCTCATTCGAATTACCCCGCGAGTCAAAATGGCTACCCCGCCTCCTGGTGCAGCGGAGGTCGTAGTCCCCGTACACGATGGTGAGAAGAAAGGGGCCACCGAGCAGCAGATCGACCCTTGGAATGTTGAAGCTGGGCATGACGCTCAAGGAAATGCTCTTGCTATTGACTATCTTGCGCTTTCGCAGTACGTCTAACCCCGCTGTTTCGCTTGGGAGACCTAGGCTCTGACGCATCGGGCACAGGAAATGGGCGACCAAGTTAATAGATGACGAGCTCCTCCAACGCTTCGAGCGTCTTACTGGCCACAAACCCCATCGCTGGCTGAGGCGCGGCCTTTTCTTTTCGCATCGCGATTTCGACAATATCCTCAATAAATACGAGCGGGGGGAGCCTTTCTTCATGTATACGGGGAGAGGCCCTTCAACGGATGCGCTACATTTGGGTCATACGATCCCTTTCTCGTTCACAAAATGGCTACAGGATGTATTTGATGTTCCATTGGGTATGTTGAAGGATATGGACGGTGTTATTTAACGTACGACTTTTGCTTGCTCGTGGGACTATGCTGATCTTTTCATAGTGATTATGCTTACAGGTGAGCAGCGTACGTAGTCCAATTTATACGAGGTCTATGTTGACAGTCAAAGACGACGAAAAGGCCCTTTTTAAGGACAATCTCACATTCGAAGATACATATAAGTTCGGGTTGCAGAACGCGAAGGATATCATCGCTTGCGGTTTTGACCTGAAGAAGACTTTCATATTTAGTGATCTGGATTATGTCAAAGGTCACTTTTTGATGAACGTTTGGGAATTCTCGAAACTCGTAACGTTTAACCAGGTTCGAGGAGCCTTTGGGTTTAATGAGAGGTTAGCACTATTAGGCCCCTGTTTGCGGGTGATGCAGGAAAATTGAGGGAACGGGAGAGGGCATTGCTAGAGCGAGGAATTGTCCTATTAGGCGGTATGGCTAAATCAGTAGCTTCGCCAGATTCGCTCCTGCTATTTCCCCCCTCGTCTCTTCTCTTTGCACTTCAAGAATTGCTCGATCTAAAATTGTCGCTAACACTTTGCAGCACAAATATCGGCCGGATAATGTTCCCCGCTGTGCAATGGTATGTTATTCACTCTCAAAAGACATGTATTCAGCTGACCGCGAGATAGTGCCGCTGCATTCGCAACGTCATATCCGGAGATCTGGTCTGATAACCCCTCCACTGTGAGGACGAAAGACATAGGCAAAATCCCTTGTTTGATTCCTATGGCTATTGATCAAGATCCATATTTCCGACTCGTCCGCGACAATGCTTCTCGTATGCGATTTCCAGGGCCAAAGCCGGCGCTGATACATTCTAAATTCCTTACGGCTCTGCAAGGTATCGGAGGAAAAATGAGCGCAAGCGACCCGAAGTAAGAATATGCAAACCCCTCAAGTAACGCCGGATTGTATTGAAACTTACACCCCTGCGCATAGTTCTGCAATTTTCATGACGGATACGCCCAACCAAATCAAGGTTCAATTGATTCCTTCCTATGATACACCTAATTAGTATTGCTTACTCGTTCACTTTGCAGAAAAAAATCACGAGGCATGCATTTAGTGGGGGCCGAGACAACATAGAAGAGCACAGACGGCTAGGCGGTAATCCTGACGTTGATGTTTCGTTCCAATGTGAGTAACTATCCTTTACTACAGTTTCAATACCTAAATTGGTTGTCTCTGACTAAACACGCGCGCATAGACCTCTCGTACTTTGAAGAAGACGACGAAAAGCTCAAGAAGATTGAGGAAGGTTACCGGAAGGGAGAGATCCTTACTGGCGAGCTTAAGATGATGGCCATCACTTTACTGCAGGAGTATGTGGCAGAGTTCCAGGAGCGGAGAAAGCTTGTTACGGATGAACTTTTGAAGCAGTATATGACTCCCCGGAAGCTGGAATGGAAGGGAAATCCCAACCCGAAGCCCAAAGAGGTCAAGCCGAAGGAATCAAAACCGAAGGAGCCCAAGGTAAAGAACGAAGCGAAGAAGCCCCAAGACGACAATTGACAGGAAATAAAGCTCGAGATATGTCGATTTGATTAGTTGATTAGATAGAGGTTTGGATGTAAATATTAGTGTTTGCATGCAAAAACCACACCTTTCTATATCTAGAAATCTAGAAATATTGAATAGATAATAAGAGTTAAGAGTGTAAGAAATCCCGCTCCTCGCGGATCCTTTACCCCTATTTTTATCTCTTGTGTAATCAATAGAGTTAGCAGCCCTTGACTACAAACAACTATATAGACTGGAGTTTGTGACTACTATTCATAACTCATAGACTGACTGTGTGACCGTGTCTGGGACCAGGACCAGATTTTTTGATAGTCTCATTACCAATTCGACTGATCCCATTACACGGTTTTAACATTAGATAGTAGTCCCATACTGTCCCAGTGAGACTTACTGTCTACTCTTGTCACATTTTTCAAATGGGACCATGATTTCCACTTCTCAATTTAAATTATTTTTATTGCTTTAAATGACTTTAAATCTCATTTGAGCATTATCAAAAAGCATTACTTTTTAAAAAATTAAAAATAGTCTAAAAAAACCTTAAAATGTCTAAAAATAGTAACTTTATACCAAGAATGAGACTAAATGAGACCAAATGAGACCACTTTCTCATTTTTTTCAAGTCATGATTTCATTTTAAAATCTGATATATAGTCACTTTGCATGTTTTTTTGATAGCCAGTCTCAGCAGGATTCATGCCAAGAAATGTATGGGACCAGATCAAATGAGATCAAATGTGAAATTCATGATCCCGACGGCCAGTCTAATAACTCAGCTTGAATACTATTATACATTTGACTTTTATATTTATCTTTCTACTGTAAACACTTCTAATAATTATTATATATTATATCAAGCTGCAAATCTCTGAATAATTATTTGTGAGTATTTATTCTTACATTTCAAACTCTATCAGTCAGTAACTGTTTATTATAATTGAAAGAATTAGAAATTTATATATTTCAATCTCTGCAAACTCTACTGCAGAAACTCAGAAATAATTAACTAAATTATGAATAATTTCTGTGAAAAAAATCTCAGAAAACTCACAATCTATTTATAGAATATTACATTTTATATTTAAAATAAAGAAACTTTTTAAATCTGTAAATAAATTTATTTTAATGAAGAATATTCTTAAGTATTTATCTATAAGAGATCTATATTAAATAGATCAGAATTAAGATATAGATCTTATATAATAAAAGTAAAAAATATTAGAGAAGAAAAAAAGAGAAAGTGCAGAAATCTGTGATTCAAAGATTGCTTTAGTCAGTGTATAATTACAGGCGTATGCCGGCTTCTTATATATTATACACTAAATTAATTAGTGGCCGCTATGACCTTCTTTACATTTGTAAGCAAGTTTGAAAGCAGCTGTGTTATTATCTGATAGTTATACATTCTTTTAAATCACATTCTCTCTTATCAGATTCAGTCATGCTTATGTAATCATAACATTCATCCTAGCTTCATGTGAATTAGTGTGTCACTAGTGTTCATAATTCTGTGATTTATCTCTGATTCAGCTAGCATTTCATATACACTCTTATAAAGAAACTTTTACTATATTATATTACTTATTCACTAACTTTTCTTATTCTTCAATTATCTTTTTCATTATTATCATTATTAAATATTATTATCTTATTCAAGATTTCTATCTCTTTCTTCTATTCAACTCTTTTTATCTGTTTATCTATTACATTGTATATATTTCTGATAATAACTCTCTATTCTTATAATAAGTATTATTATAGTGCTTATACTGAACAGTTCATTAACAGTAAGTGTAATACATTATAAAATATAGTCAGAACTTGTTTATCTTCTAATAATTATTAGAATATATTATTATGAATAACATATCTTCTTTATCTTCTTATACACTTTTTAATTATTTTTTCTTCTTAGTGAGTTTCTGATTATATTTTCTAACATAATTTTACATAAATGCAGATACTAATATATTTATTTTTATTTATATAGAATCTTTATATATTGACAGATCTGTATCTATCAATAATAGTGAACTTAATATTGAATTATTAATTAAGAACTTAAAGAATATGATAATGAAGAAATTATCTGTATTATATATAATCAGATCTTCTGTATCTCTCTTTATCTTTTCTACTACTTCTTTCTCTGCTACTCTCTCTTAATCTTCTACACTTACTTCTGTGTCTGATTCTCTTACTTCTGCTATCTCTGTTTCTGTAACTCTTACTTCTGCTACTTCTAGTTTTTATCACACTCTCAGCCGCGTCAAGGCTCTGTTGCGGTTTCACACAGCTCATCACTTTCATGCGAATGATTTCATTCATCCCGCAGGTCATCTGAACCGGTTTTCAATCACTCTATGATATCATTCAGATATATCATAGAAAGATTCAATTGATAAATATAAGAACTCTACTTCTATATAAAATCAGCAGATTACTCTTTCTTAGTAATGAGACACTGCTGAGATATCACTTCAGCTATTCTCACTCATGAAATGAGAGAAGAGTATTCACTCATTATCTATATAAAATAGCTAGATGCTGACTTCTTATTAAAGAAGTCAGTAATTTATTTTTCTTCTACTGAAATATATATAAGAGTTACTGTATATTTCATACAATTTTCTCAGTATACTAAGTACTATATCTGTGATATTCTTATAATAACTCTGTAGTCTATAAGCTCACTATTTAAGTAAGATAGTTAAGCTTACTTATACAGTTTCTTAAATAACTATCTCTATATAACACTGTTAACTAGTCATCACTTCAATTCTATTATATTATAATTTAAATTACTTAATCTAATTATATGTTTAAATCAGTCAAGCTCTAACAGACTAATATAATTTTATACACTTATACTGAGACTGATCTGACTTCACTCTCTGAGAGAAATACTATATTATTCTCTAAAGTGTATACATCTCTACTCTGATAGAAATCTGAGATTTCTGAACTCACTGCATATTTTAACATGAGCTCTTTAATCACTCTATTACTATTATAATCTCTACACATCTATATCTATTATAAAGATAGAGAGATTAAGATCAGAGATTTTTTAAAATATAAGAAAAACATCTTATCTGAATTTCACAGCTTTATCTGTACTCTTGAACAGAAATTCTGCCTTAACTTAAGTCAGTATAATACTTATAAGATATAAGTAATATATACTATCAATCTTCTTGAAGACATCTCTATAACTACTTGAGTTATTAAGAAGAGAGAGCTTGAGTGTACTAATATTATTATAATTTAAGAAGAATTCAAGAACTTTCTACTGAATTAAATTAAAGATCACTGTAACTGCAGCTTCACAGCAGCACAGTAGTTTAACTTATTATATTAATAAGATAATAAGAATTCTTCTAATTTCAATATAAGATTTAAAGAGTATTGAGAGAAATTGACTGATGATTTGAATTAATTAAAAATACAGCTTTATCTTATAAAGCTGACTTATAAGATGTGAATAATAATATTATAATATCAGAGTTTATTAACTAATTACACTGAGCTTGTCAATCTGACTTTTCAGATCTACTTAAATAATCAATTCTCTGAGAAAAAGATTAATAAGACTTCTTCTAAGTAATTAATAATAGAATCTAAACAGTACTGTGACAGCTTCAGTGTAGAGAAAGTAAGAAAGAATTTCAAGTATTCTGATTCTTCACTCACTATAAAGAAATATTAAAAAAGATTTAATAAAGATCTCTGTTTCAACTGCAGAGCTAATAATTACTATGTCAGTGATTGTAAGAAACTAAAGAAGAGAAGAAACTGAGAAGATATCTTCTTAAAGTTAACTTCTCTTCTGATAAATGTATTCATAAAAGATAAAGAAGAGAAAGAAAAGAATTAATAATTCTCACATCTCTGAGTTTATATTACAATCACAATACATACTTTAAATAAGAAGATATCAGTGAGATGTCTACTCAACTCTGAGATAGATATTAACTTTATATTCTATCTCTTTTCTTTAATAAAGAGTTGAAAGAAGATAGATCTGTCAGATTATATAAAATTTACTGATGAAATGAAATATCACTGTTTTAACATAATTTAAGCAAAGTGTGTGATCACAGACTCAGAAGAAATCTTTAAGAAGAGCAGTCTACTTCTTTACATAGTTAATATTATAAATGAGAACATTATTCTAGATCTTCTATAATTGAGAGAAAACAATTCTCTTATTGACTGAGTCACTCAGATGTAACAGTATTATCTCACTAATAAAGAGACAGTAATAGAGAAATCTGAAGAGTTTTATCAGAAGAATCTTGAGAAAAAGATTGAGTCAATATACTGTATAGCAGATGATTGAAACTTGAGAATAGATAAAGAAGTTATCACTCTCACTGTAAGATTAACAGCAGTATTCATCATTGAAGATGAATATATATAATATCTCTTTACAGATTTTAAGAATGTCTTTTCAGAAAGAGAAGCAGTGAAGTTTTCTGACATTAAGATATAATATAAGATTTATCTTGAAGACAGTGTAACAGCACTGTACAGACTTCTTTATAACTTATTTATAAAGAAATTGAATATTCTGTATAAATATCTTGAAAAAGCACAATCAAAGAACTGAATATATTCATTAAAGAGTTCAGTAGAAGTGTCTATACTTTTTGTACTTAAGAAGAATAATAGACTATATCTATACATAGACTACAGAGATCTTAATAAGATGACAGTTAAGAATTACTATTTATTATCATTGATTAATGAGATGATCAATTGATTATCTGAAGTAAAGATGTTCTCAAAGATTAATATACAAGATATCTATCATAGAATCAGAGTTAACAAAGACAATGTTTGAAAAATAACTTTTTATATCAAGAACAGTAATTTTGAATATCTTGTTTTATCTTTTAATCTTTATAATACTTCAGTCATCTTTCAGATCTATATAAATAAGACACTGTAAGGCCTTGTCAACATCTTCTGTATAGTATACTTGAATGACATTCTAATCTTCTCAAAAATGAAGAAAGAACATGATACTCATGTTTGAGAAGTATTAAGTTACTTAAGATAGTATTAACTCTATATAAACATTGAAAAATACTCATTCTATATAGAGAAGATTAATTTCTTAGATTATATTATTAAGATAAACAACATTTCAATAAACAGAAGCTGAGTCTTCATTATTAAGAACTGATCAGCACTGTGAATATATTATAAGATATAGATGTTTCTAGAATTTATGAATTTCTACAGATGATTCATCTATACATATTCACAGATTACTGTCTCTCTTACAGATCTGTTAAAGAGAAGTGTGAAAGATAGAAAAATAAGACTATTTATTCTTATTCAAGACACTGTGCAGATGTTTACAGAATTGAAACAAGCTTTTATAGATATTATAATACTGAATTACTTTAACTCTGACTTACTCAGTTAGTGTGAGACTGATACATTCAGAAATAAAATCTGTAGAATCTTTTCACAGTTGACACTGAAGATCTTTCAATATTGAAAGAATCAGAGAATAATTATCTCTGAGAAAACAGACAATAAATTGTCTGTGAGAGAAGACTTTTTCATAGAGTCTATAAGACACTGTAAATAAAGATCAGTGATCTTCTTCTTTAAGAAGTTATCACTTATATAGAGAAGATATAATACTCATAATCAGAAGATATTAGTAATTATTAAATTCTTTAAGATCTGATAACATTATCTCTAGAGTAGTAAGTACTCAGTACAAGTTCTCACTGATTATGTAAATCTGTGTTACTTCTTGATAATAAAGAGCTTAACAGAACATTAAGTCAGATGAGTAGAGCTGTTTTCAGAGTATAATTTCTATATCTGATACTGTTCAGATTAGCTTAATCTTACTGACATATTATCTAGACAGTCTGATTATAATATTATTAATATAGAGAAGAATTCTATAAAAGAACCTCTGTTATCACTGCAGAAGAAGCTAACTGCAGAGAATTAAAGTTCTCTAAAGCTCAGAAACAGTGTCAGAGAGATAGCTGTATAACTTAGTATAGAAGATAAAAGAGAATCTGAATCTCTGCAGAAGACTGATACTGAAGATTATAAGCTTCTCATATTACATCTTATAATTATTGAATTGATAAAGAATGAAACAGTCTATAATTCTTTAACTTAACTACTTTTGAAATTCATTAATAAGTTATAGAAGAAGAATATCTCTACTACAGCTCAAATTTAAAAGTTGAAAAAGAAAGAATTCAGTTTAAACTTAAAAGAGACAGACTCTGAGCAGAGTGATACTGCTAAGAAATCAAGTTACTGATAACTAGAAAAATATAAACTTCTACTACTGAATAATTCAGTCTTCATCTCTCATAGCAGAGCAGTGTGTTAGAAGTTATTGAGAATTTATTATAATAATTCTCATACAGAGCACTTCAGATTAGAGAAGACTGAGAAGCTTCTAAAATATAAATATACTTAAGACAAGCTTTAGACAGATATTAAAGAGTATATTAAGACTTATAATATCTATCAAAGAATAAAGATTCTGTGATATAAGTAATATAGTAAGTTAATATCACTGTCTGTTTCAAAGAGTTTATAACAGAATCTATTAATGAATTTCATAGTTAATCTACTGAAGTCAATAAGAGTTAAAGAATATAACTTAATTTTAATCATTGTTGATCACTTTATAAAAATAATCAGATATATTTCTACTTATAAAAAGATTAAAGCCTCTGAATTGACTGATCTGTTTTTAGATACTATCATTTATAATCATAGTACTCTGAAATTATTAATAACAGATTGAGAATCTCTCTTTATCAGTAAATAGTAAATACTGATTGACTTTTTACTATTATTTTATAATAAGATATCTTCTCAGTATTACATTTCATTCACAGACTGATAATCAGACTGAATATCAGAATCAGATACTAGAACAGTATCTTTAAATATTCTATTTATATTATTAGAATAATTAACTTAAATATCTTCTAACTACTGAATTTATATATAATAATATAAAGAATATAATCTTAAAGATATCTTCTTTCTATACTTATTATGAATATAATTCTTCATTACTCAGTGACATTGTAAATAATATTTCAAAGAAGAGAATAGACAGTCAGAATATTAGACAGATATAGAGAATAAAGTATCTCTTAATATCAGAAGTAAAAGTAAGATTGAAACTTTTAAATAAAATTCATGAGAAGATAGTAAGAAGTATTTATTATACTCAGAAGCAGCAGATGAAATACTATAATTAAAAACATTTTTCAATGAAGTTCTTAATAGAGAATTAAGTACTACTTTTAGTAAAGAATATCAAGATAATAAAATTATATAAGAAGCTCAGTAAGTGATAACTAGAATCTTTCTCAGTAATAAGAGTAATAAGTAAACAGATATATAAGTTAAAATTACTTATAGAATTGAAATTAATTTATTCTATTTTTCACATTTTCTATTTAAAGCTCTATAAGTAACATCTTGAGATGAAGCTGTCTCAGTTAAATAATATTAAGATTAAGAGTGATACTGAATATCTTATGAAGAAAATATTGAATAAGTAAATATATTACAGCAAGCTTTAATATCTTATTAAATGAGAAGAATATTCATTATCAGAGAATTCATGAGAATCACTTAAGTATTTGAAAAATGCTGAGAAAGAGATTGTAAGTTATAAGATAGCTAGTAAAGACTGTCTTATTATACATCAGAGATATTAAGTAAGAAATACTGCTTAAGACTTCTCATTTTTCTCAAAGAGTTTTTTAGAGATAATCTTATAATAATAAGTCAGTATCTTATAAACTCTGTAGCACTTTTCTTCTATTTTCTCTTAAAGAATTTTTTAGAAGTTTAATAAGACTATACAAGTGTAAAATTTCTGAAGCAGTTAGAGAAAAGAAATATTGAAAATTAATAAAAAAATTAATATTATTAATCTGTGAGTTACTGCTATTTTAATAGAGTTACAGTCTGCTGAAAAAGTAAAAAGAGAGATCAGAGTCTACTTATTAATAACTATATTCTTATTAAACTCATTCTTCACTGTTAAAGTCTCTGATATTAATATCTTTATTTATTAAGAAGTTAGCACTGCAGTACTGCAGAGAAGTATACTACAGAAGAGTATAAGAGATACTGAAAGTATTAATTTATTAACTTATAAAGTATCTCAGTTATCTGCTTCAACTGAAGTGAGATTCTCTTTAATTAGTGATTAGTCTCTGCAGTGCTTTTAACAGTAGTATTAATTAATCTCTTCTTAGAACTAGTTATTCTGAGATGTTTTTTTATTTCAGAGATTTATACTTTCATCTTCTTTTACAGATGAGTAAGAGAAATCTTCTCAGTCTTGACAGAATTTATTAATACTTGAAGCTCTGAGACTCTTACTCTGTACTGCTTAAGCATCTGAGCTTCTTATCAGAGCTGATACAATATCTTCTTATAGAGTAGATAATACTTACAGAGAGATAGAAGTTATTATTACAGATATAACAGAAATAATGAGAGTGAGAGAAGAGATAGATATATAAAATCTCTCTCTTCTTCAGCTGCTTAGCACAGTGCAGATAGATGATAATACTGATTAGAGACTGCATCAGAGCCTTCTCACAGAGAGAAGATAAAGAAATCACAGAATTCTGTGAATTCAACTCAGCAGTATTCTGAGCAGAGCTCAGATATATCACAGAAGAGAAACTACAAATTAAGCTTCTTAGAGCTACTGTTTCTGAAATCAAGCTCTCTTCAAGATTCTCTCTGAATGACTACATGAGATCATATGTCACTGTGTTAATTGAGAGAAGGGGCAGTGTTACAACAGCAGTGAGAAAGACAGAGAAAGAATCAGACACAGACAAACTAGTCAGCAGAAGAGATGACACCTCACTACAAGGCACAGTCACTACCACCGCAGCCGCCAGAGATGCCAGAGAGAGAGAAGGTGTGACAATGAAAGCAGTGCTCCCGCGGCTCATTGACATCATCACCTCTGTCTTCAACCAGGCTTTCTTAACAGTCACAGAGACTGCAGCCGCATCATGAAGACATTTACTCACTAGAAAACATCAGAATAAGTTCTTAATTGTTCTTCAAGAATGATACTCTCATACACTTACTGTTATAATTGAGAGAGAGAAAAGAAAAATATTTCATAGAGAGAGAGAATCTTTTTAAAAAATCCTGTTACTACTGTTAACTTTGTCTCTAAAAATACATCACTTTTGCAGAGAATTTCATATATAGAATGAAATATGTTAAAAGATCTACAAGTCACTTATTAACTATGTTTTTCATATTTTAAATTGATATATAAGAAACTCACTTATCACATGTTTGATTTGAATGAAGATGAAAAAGAAAGATTTACACAGTTAGTAGAAAAACTCATCTATTTCTTTATATCACATGTAGTATATATACTATTAATCAGTTGATAATCATTGCTATATAACAAAGATAATTTCTAATTCAGTAATCTTAAGAATATAGAGACTATACTCTTAAAAAGAAGAGTATTATTATACTTCTAACTATATCAAGACTCTGTTACAGTTTCATATAACTTATTACTTTTATATGAATAATTTCATTCATTCTATAGACTGTTTAAATCAGTTTTCAATTACTCTATAATATTATTCAGATATATTATAGAAAGATCTGATTAATGAATATAAGAATCTCACTTTTATATAAGATCAGCAGATTTCTCTTTCTTAATAATAAGATACTGCTGAGATATTACTTTAACTATTCTTACTTATAAAATAAGAGAAGAGTATCTACTCATTGTCTATATAGAATAGCTAAATACTAGCTTCTTATTAAAGAAGTCAGTGATTTATTTTTCTTCTACTGAAATATATATAAGAGTTACTATGTGTCTTATACAATTTTCTTAGTATACTAAGTATTATATCTGTGATATTCTTACAATAACTCTGTAGTCTATGAGCTCACTATTTAAGTAAGATAGTTAAACTCACTTATACAGCTTCTCAAACAACTACTTCTACATGACACTGCTGACTAGTCACTGCTTCAGTTCCGCCATGTTACAGTTTTACTGTCTCTGCTTTTATTATCAGTTCTTCTCATTTCAAGAAGATGTTACATAGACTTAATAAATTACATTTCTCAGTGTATACACTCTCACTCTTCTTACTAACTCTCAGAATAATTTATTATACAAATATTGTATATAATATAATTATTTAAAGCTCAGTCACAGATACTGATTATTATATTCATTTCAAATATTCATAATAAGATAATTATTTATTTATATCAGAGAATCATTTTCTCTTTTAATAGTATTAAGATTATAAGTCTTTTTCTTTTTCATTTTTTCTTTCTGATACTGATTTTTCTATTCTTAGAGAAAATCATTATAAGTTTTACTATATATAAAGTTATAATATTTATAGATATCAAGAAACTTTTCATAACTGTAAAGTTTAATATTACAGAGATATTCACTCTGATAAATTTCTTTAAAATAATAGATCTATATCAGTCTATTCTCTAGTATCTATTATCTGACTTTATAATGCAGATGAAAGATATCTGTGTTTTCAGAAATAGAAATACAGATATCATACTTTTTTATACTTATAGATATAAGACTTATATATCTTATCTGAGATATTATTATAAGAATGAGTTATTTATACACTGTATTTTACTTTTTATATTCTCTCATGTCTCTCTCTCTCTTTCTGAGAAGTCTTGTATGTGTTGTAATTACATATATAACTCTAAGATCAGTGAGTGTTCATTTAATAACTATTCTCACCTTTAATTTTACAGTTTTTATATACTAATAATAGTTCTTAGTTGCTTCAGCATCAGAGATTATTTTAATCAAAGATGATAATATTACTGAGACTATCTTCTCTCACTCTTAAGCTTCTTCTATCACTTTCTCTTCCTTCTCTGCAGAAAAGATTGTATGTATATCAGATTATAAGTGTTCAGCTCTGAGTAACTCTCACTGTTATTTATTCAGTTCTGTATCTTCTTCTTCTTTCATTTCTTTCATCTCTGTCTTCTTTACTCTAACTTCTGATTCTATAAGTTCTGCACTCTTCTTCAATTTTTCTATTCATATATATACACATTTCTATATTAGCATTTCAGTCAATCTTGTAATAAATGACATTAATGTTGTACACAGAGTGATAGAGAAATCAGAGACATGTATAACATTGTTATAAGAGCAGCTTACAGCTCTCAAATCTCTTATAGATTTTAAGTTTTGAGATTTTCTTTGTTTTTAATGTTTTTCAGATAATATGACATTGAAAATAGATTAACATGTGATGTATAAAAATGAATGAGATGTGTATAATAATATTTATCTTTTATAACTGACTCTTACAGTTAATAATCAATTTATTATCTCTTTTCTTTTCTTACACTTTTTCTTTATCTGCTAGTTACTACTCTTATACAATCTCTATATAATACAGTGTTTAATGACTAGATTCAGCAGCTTTCATCTTTTATAATTCTGTCTTGTGTATTATACTGTCTCTCTTTACTCACTTAGATTACTATAGTAAACAGTTTATTGAAACTAATCTCATCTGATCTCTGAGTATTCTCAGAGATCAAGATAACTTAATCTCATATATTCACAGATGTTTCAGATGCTTCATTCTCTGTTATCTCTGCAATTGAACTGATATAAACAGTTAAATTCAACTCTGAATTTCTTTTTCTTCTGTAATCTGACTCACATACAAGTCTGCTGCTTTGAGACTGCTTTTTATCACATTACACTCACTATCTGCAGTGTGTTATTATATGATCAGCTACAGTTTCATTACTTATTAAAATATAGTATTCATCTGATTTCTTCATTTCTTTTCATTCTTTTCTTATAATTATGAAAAGATTGAAATAAGTGAGATTATCTGATTTATAAGTGTTTATGATTTCTCTTACTTCATGAGACTTTTCAATTATAAGTTCTTTCTTTTTCAATACTGATAATAGTACTGTGAATAATTATAATCTGCTCAGATCTTGCATCTTTGCTTTTATAAGTAATGAATTATTTATTAAGTTGTATAAGATCTATCTCTCTGATTCTTTCAATGTGTATATTCTCAGAGAATGTGATTTGAGTATTTTATATAACTTAAATCATCTAGGTTGAAACTTCTCAGAGCTCTCATTGTATATAAGAACTCATATTCTTATCTTGAGACTTGATTTCTTAACTAGTGAGTCTTGTATTCTTTTTGATTGAATTTCTCAGTTCAGAAGTAACTCATTAACTTTTATATATATGTAACTGATCTCTTTCAATCTTGATTCTGTGTTTATAACTGTTACATCTGTAACTGCTACTGCTGTATCTGTAACTGCTATTCTCTCTCTCATCTTTTCTGAAGCATTCTTCAGAATGCACAGATGCAATTCATACAATAGATAGAATAATAAATACTTAAAGACTGCATACTACTGAATTCATGTGGCTAATAGCATCTAACTGAGATATTCATCTTATAATCTTATAGACATACTTACTAGATATTTTATCAGCATGTTACTCAAGATTTCATTCAAGTATTTCACTTTCTCATTCATCTGTAAGTGATATAGTATTGTTCTACAATGTCTTGTCTATAACTAACTTATAAAAAGCCTCATCACTTCTTCTACAAGATTCACACTGTTATCAGTTAGAATCTCATGCAGCATTTCATAGTTGATATAAATCTCATTGTGTAGAAACTTTGTCACTATCTTCTCTGTCATCTCTGAAACTGCTTTTATAACTGATCAGTCAGTAACATAATTAATAGCAGTGATTATTCATTGATTTTCATTTGATGTTCATGATAATATGTCTATGAGATTTATCTCTCATTATTTAAATGATTGTATTATACACTTCATCTGATAATACACTTTCTCATATTCTAACTCTTTCTTAGATTCTTTCATAACCTGGTAATTTAAGCACTCATGAGTATACATTTGAATGTTCTCAGTCATGCTTGGTCAGTATACTTTTAATTCAAGTACACTCATGAGTTCAGAGCTTTCTAAGTGACTGAATTTCTTGTGCATGTGAGTCACTAAGTCATGTCTAAATAAATATTCTAGATAGAAAGCTTTCACATATTTTAGATCACAGTAAAGTATAACATCATTTTTCAATTTTCTTAGCTTGAAGTTCAGAAGCATCTCTTCTACTACTTTTATAAAATACTTGTTATTTAACATCTTATCATTCTTTAAGTAAGAGATCATTGTATTCACTCATTCTGATTTCTTATATCTTTTCAGTGCATTTAATACAAACTTCTCTTATATCTGATTCACAGAATTCTCACTCATGAAATCAGATTTGTAACTGATTATATCAGATATTACAGTATTTAATCTCTTTCAGTATTTAATATGAAGATTGTATACTTGAAAGTTCAAGATTCAATATACTAAGTATTTAAAAGATTTTATTATTAATTATAGATAAATGAGACTTTCATAATCTGTAATCACTATTATTATATATCTGTTATCAATATATCTATCTCATAATATCAGTGTGTGTTTAATTACTAGTAATTTCTTTTCATACACTGAGTAATTGAGCTCAGTATCTGATAGTTTTCTACTATTATACATCACTGAGTGCAGCTTGTTATTCTTATTCATCTGTAGAAAAGCATCTCTGATAGCTTATTCAGATGCATCTGTCTCAATGTAGAAAGATTTATCACAATCTGATTGAATAAGTACTGAGAATGTTATTACACATTCTCTCAGTGTGAGAAAAGCCTCTTCATACATGATATTTCAGATAATTGAATAAAACTTCTTCTTTCACAGATTTGCATCTGTTTCTCTTAAGAGATCTGAGAGTGATACAGATATTCATATAAAATTCTTGATAAATCTACAGTAATATGAGATCAACTCAAGAAACTGTTGTATATAATATATGTTTCTCAGTCACAGTCAATTCACTATAACATTCAATTTCTTCAGAATGAGGTATATACAGCTATCACTCACTACATATT